TACGCGTCTTTTAGCAAATTTACATTTATCTTTATTAAGACGTAATCGTGCTCTTTCAATGCGCTCCGATACTGTTTCAAGACGTTGAGTCATTTTTGTCAATGTGCGACCGCTGATGATGATATCATCAATAAGCACGGCTACACCTGGTACGCCGGCTAGTAGTGCGGTCATCAGACGTTGAAATATTCCCGGACACGCCTTCACGCCGAATGCCAGTCTGTACGGCATACAATCCTTTACATATATTTAAAGTTAAGAGCTTCACTGTGCTATCTGTGACCACCACTTGCGTATATGCTCTGTCTAAATCAAATTTAGTGTGATAAGAGCCACCTGCAATAGCTGCAAAAACTTCACTAGCCGTGGGCATTGGGTACGTATCCGACTCAGTAGCTTGATTCACCGTACTTCGATAGTCTCCGCAAAGTCGTATGTCTCCATTTTTCTTTACTATAGGAACTGCTGGTGTCGCCCATTCTGAAAAAAGATAAAGGCCGCAGTACCCCCTCTCCCACTAAACTATCGATTTCCCTTTCAATCCTTTCTTTTAACGCGAATGGCGCTGGTCGAGCTTTTAAAAATTTAGGAACAGTGTTAGGCTTAATTTGTATGTTCACAGGGTTCCCTCTATAAGTACCAAGCCCTTCTCTGAAAACTGTATTATATTTATTAAGCACTTTATCAATATCTTTCATATCAATAACATTAATAGTATTTAAAGTAATATCTAATGCTTTAAACCAGTTTCGACCAATAAGATTTGGGCCCATGCCCTTCGCTATAACCATATTCAAATTACACTTAATTTCTTTAAATTGCACTTGCACTGTAGCTTGTCCCATTACTTGTCCCGGGGATTAGTTCCACGTACGTAACTTATTGGGCAGTATATCTAGTATAGTTCTAGAGTGTAACTGCATCCATGTTTGTTCATTCAAAATTGAGAAAGCAGAGCCAGAGTCCACCTTCATGATCGCTGGCACACCATCCAATAGAAGTGTTATTCTATATGCCGGTACACGTGAAGTCAAACTGTCTAAGTTATAAATGCCATTTAAATGTGTATCTGACTCTTGTGTATAATTCACATTGCCCCTATGGCTTTTCTTTTTAGCTGTGAATTTTTTTTCAATATGCCCCTTTTTCTTGCAATAATTACAAACAGCATTTATGAAACGACACACACCGCCATGAGTATCGCCACATCGGTAGCAGAATATAATATTATTTTGAGATTTCATGGCATTCACATCCATCGGCTCGCATGATGATGTTACCGGTGAAGTAGTGGAAATTGAATCCCTGGAGATGGCAAAGTTAGTGCTGGTCACACTTTGCATCATGCGGACATCCCTCACTGCACTTTCAGATGATAGCACTACATCCTTATACTGTAAATTGTTTTTTTTAGCAATTCATACTGCAATTTCTTATCATTCATACCGCACACAAGTCTGTCACGAGGCATACGTTCCAAGTCCGTAAAATTGCACCCCGCACTTATTTTTCTAATATGTGCAATATATTCTGATACTGATTCATTCTCTTTTTGATCACGTTTATAAAATTTGAAAGACACTGAAATATCGTTTGGTTTTGGACTATAATGCTTCGTAAGAATTGTTACAATTTCCACGAATGTCACATCACTAGATTTTTTAGGCGTAACTAATGCCAAAACAGTCTCATATACATTTGCACCACAAACCGTGTAAAAATTCGCCCTTTGAACCGCGTCTGAGACGATTCCATTCGCCTCAAAACAGTACATTAATCGTTCTATATAATTGTCCCAATTATCACTTTGTAAATTAAATTCGTGAAATTTCACTGATTTACGTTCCATTGTTTCACTTTTTACACTACGTCGCCACTGTTAGATCCAATAAAACACCGTAATTTAGGTAAATACGTGTATTGTGCTAGGTAGCAAAACTAATGACAAACTAGTTGACTTAACTGACATTATTTCTTAACAATGTTATGCAAGTACCTACATTCGTAACTATTTATCAGAATCCATGATATATAACAGTCACCAAGATCAAATTTTCATCAACACTAGGTACATTCCACCAGAGAACGTCACAAGGCAATTCAAAAAGAGAGTAACTTAATTATCATAATAGTAACAAGCTAAATTAGGTAGTTGTATGATTTCTCAGTATAGGTCTGTTTCAATGTCCAATTCATTTGCAAAATCGCCGAAGTCCAAATCTATGGAGCGTAGTAAAATTTACTAGTTTTTATTTACTAGTTTTTATCATAAAATTATGAAATATGTATAAGAAAAATACGTTAAACTAAGCCTAAGGTAAAATTTCTTTTTTAATCCTGGTCACAACATCATCTTTCAAAACCACACTTGTCATTCAGATTCAGTCTTAACATGCTCCTTTATGACCACATTTCTACAGCATTTATTCTACCATCTTGTTTTTTCTGCCACATACAACTTTCACTACCATACATTAAGGTAGGGACTAAAAAAGCAGCTCTCTTTCCCTTACTTCTCGTTTCTCATGTCGTAACATCAGTTTAATTTTTTTTTACTAATGCCTTCAGTGTGCTGTTGTGGCTTTTGCTATTGTGCAGTACATCAGGTATGTTTGCAGAGGCTCATATGAATAGCTTTTATGCCATCCTATGCAATAGAGTTGCTTCACTGATGCATAATATATAATAATAATAATGTCCTCCAGACTGAATTTCGGCCACGGCGGCCTGTCTCAGCGGAGGCTAGCCATCGGCGCAGGACAGGATTACAGTGCCCAAGTGTATGCGCAAGCACAGGTGCACTCTCTATTCCCTCACTCTCATAATCCGATGGGACGGTAAACCGACACGACCGGAGAGAGATCAGGCGCAGGACCAACGGCTTTACGTGCTTTCCGAGGCACGGGGGTGAGACACCGCCAACTTCCTGACTCCAGGCAGCTACTGAGAATTTCTTGACGGAAAAACTCAATAATTGCAGCCCGACCCGGGATTCGAACCCAGGACCAACGAGGCAGTCATAATATATAAGGAGGCATAAAATATAAGGGATTACTAAAGGCATCTTGAACATTCTATCTGAAAATAAGATCAGCTTGTTTGGTGGGTAGGAGGCCGGTGAGAATCAGAGGCACACAACAACGCCTTTTTAAACCAGCTTCATAAATACCGTTAGTACCCTACCGAAAATAGGCTTCCCCATAGATTTCCTCATAGGCTGGATATTTGCTTAATTTGGCACGCTTGGAAAACGGATTGGCAACCGCAATTTTAAATTTTGGTTATTATTAGGAAAACTATGGAGTGTAGAAGTAAGGAGTACCAACTCCCATAGCAGAATAGTTGAATAAGTGGCCATCTGTAACAGTAAATAACAGCTCAAAAACTCTCCGCAACAGCGCTGGAGTAGTTACTGGGATGAAATGAACTTAGCAGTTGTCGACGGTTTAAGTGTGCTGCTAAACTGCTCAATAGCTCTAAAATCTAAAATTTTTTATTTTAATTAAATTATTTAGTAAATATAACCTCGAAAAAGTCGTCTATTCCACTAATATTTTTCGGTGCGTTCTTTAAAATTTACCCCGTAGATATATAGTGGCGCCACATTATTTAACGGTTCACTTTTTAATACACAGTCTGTACTCCTTACTTCTACACTCCATAAGGAGAACGTTGCTGCCATCTCCCAATTTGTTTCTTTCTGTCGCCTCTTTCAACGCCCATGGGATGATACGGATTTCTAATTCTTAAATTAGGCATTTAGAATTTTATTTTTAGAGATAAAATTCGGACATAAAAATTGCATGGGATAAAGTGAAAGGGAGAAAAGAAAAAGTGATATCAAGATTGTCATCTCTCAATATCACTCTTTCTATGATTTAAATTATAATGTAAACTCAGAGAATTTTCTCTTTATTTAAATATATCTTCTTTATTCAATAAACGCAACTTTAAAAAATATAGTTAAAATAGAGAGAGTATTGTCCTCAATTTGCACCTACCATCATCTTTATTAATTCCATCTTTCTTAGGGTTGACTGGTAGTGAATGCCATAGGGCATCAAGTCTGCCCTTTGTAACCCCTAGTTGTAGGTGTGTTGTAATAAAAAATAAAATAAATAAAAATACAGACAGAAAAACGAACAGAGTGGTATCATTAAAATACTTGCATTGGATTCCCAAATTACTCCGAGATAAATTAAACACAATTATAGACTTATTCTTAACATTTACAATTTTATTTACATCTATAAATGTATATTTATACATGTAAATAAAATAGAAGTGCCTCTTTGTAATATCGAAATAACTGACTTTTATCAAACAGGGGGTGTTATTTGAAGTTATTTGCCAAGAATAAATAACTGTTTTTTTAAAAAAATCGACGGGTTGCACTCCGGGAATGCCGGCAGAAGTGAAAATTTGAATATTAACGTTGTGCATTTTTGATATTTTGGAATGATTAGGGAATAATTTTGCACGAATTGCTTTAATTATCACACACGAACATTCGCGCAAGCGCCCTGCGCCGCCTAAATAAAACAGCAGGCGCAGGCATACATTTTCGCCGCGCCGTAGAAAGAGAGGGAGATACTTCCTCTCCTACGCCGTGCCGGCTGTCTCTCTCTCTCTTTCCATCCGTCTTACGAATTTTCGATCAGGGTCACGTGTCCTGACGCGAGTTTAACATTTTTTACCCATTACAAAAAAGTGTACAACGCCAACGCCGCTAATGAAGTTTTCACTTCAAAAATCTATTTGTCTGGCAAAATGTTAAGAATGGCTTAAACATTTGTAACAAAGCTTGATAAACAGATAGAAAGCAATGTCAGAAGGTATTTTTTATTTTAGGAAATCGTAAAGCTAAATATCTGCATAATACGACACTAACCGGGCGAAGCCGGCGCAGGCCATAGTGTAAATTTATATAAACAGATGATCGTGCCAAATCCAACCACAATCTATATCAAAAACTTATTTGAAACCTTAACTTGTATCAGTATTCCGTATCACGAAGGACGCTCAGCAGCAACACGGTCTCCGTCATGCAGACTACCAACGTTACCGAGGTTATTGTTCACGTCGCCTGCGCCGTTTGCGGAAAGTTCTCAAAATTCCTCAGGTATGTTTCATTGTTTAGTAGTTGGCGTAGTAATAATCTTGACTTATAGTAGCGACGAGGATCACACTAGGTGCCGTACATCTAACTTTTCCAAACTTCTAAACCAATCGGTGATCAGGGACATGTGTTTGTGTGTGTTTTAAAACACCACTCACTAATTCCAAGCTGCACTTATCAATTCAAAAGAAATTTATATCCACGCAAAGTTAACGTTTTGGCACCGTATTGCAACAGCCCCCTGACCCATGAGCGTGAGTTTTCCGTCTTATTATAATCGTATATTTGAATAACTTTTTTTGACAAATCAATTGTTACATTTACTTTTTGGGTATGTTCCGAAATACAAAAAAATTTTTGGGTATGTCCAATGCAAATGACGTCATGAATCGACGCTATACTGGTGATTCGTTCCAAAACATTGGACAGTATATGACGTCATACTTTTGCGCCATTTGGAAAAGTGTTGGCGATTATTTTGTGCTCCAAAAATCATTATATCATCCTAATGGATATACCATCAATTATTCTATAATTTTTTGTATTTGAATAAATAGAAACAAATTCTAGCACGCTTCATTCGGTAAACACACAATTAAAAATTGTTTTATTATGGCCGGATATCCGACACAGTATGGCGGCGGCACGCTAGTACAATAAAGTGTCAAATGATACGTCATTTGCATTGGACAGTACACTGCGTTGTATTTCGGAACATACCCTTTATATTCCCATACAACTTTAGTCAATCATAATACAAAAATTAATACATAAATAAATAATCTGTTGTGTCAATTAAGCTTATACAATATGTAATAAAAACCTTGTGGTTCTCTATTATCAAAATCAGTATTCAAACTATGGAAATAACTTTATTAACGTCTATAACTCGACCATTAAAAAGATTAATTTCGATTAAAAAAGTAAATTTGTGAATTTTATGTGGTTTTATTACTTTTGCATTATTTTTGCACCGATACTCGTGTCATTTAGAGGTAATAAAATCACAGATAATTTTCAAATATTTTTTTTAATTATATATTGGGAGGGAGTTTTCTGAAAAATAATTGTTTCTATACATTTGAATACTGTTTCTGCTAACACACTTAACGGGAACCGTAGGGTTTTTGTTACATGTTGTATAATTAAGGCAGATTTTAGAGGATTGACAACTAGCAACTAAGTAGAATTACACTGAATGTAGTAATTAAGCGGTGTAATATGATATTTATCATTAATGTAAGAAAAGTTGAGCATGCCATACTAACTAGTACAAAGTCCGTATTAAACTGATTTAGGTAATTCTGTTCGATTTTTAAGTCATACACAGAACAGAATATATTGTATTGTATTGTATGGTCAATAGATGAATAGGGACCATCGTGATTTTACCCATTCTATAAATTTTATGCCACTTGGTACTGCGATCAAAAATCTATACCAAGCATGAGATAAGCAAATCGATAAAAATAGCATAAAACAGTTATGGTTCCTTATCATGATGTCCTTGTCCACGCTGCAGCTATTGTGGTTGTAGACGAATGGGTCGGCTCGACCGGGAAGTACCACGCTTTCATAGAATACCAGCGTAAAATGGCAGCTTAATACTGTTGTGTTTAGTGTGGTGAGTGTAGAGATCCGGAGATCCTTTTTTACTGGAAATGAGGCATTCCATCTTAGTCCTCAGGAGTGACAACGCATTTGCGTTTTGATTCATAATCGAGGTTAAATGTAGATGTCTATGGGCCACAGCATCCACTTACCATCAGGTGGACTGTGTGCTCGTTTGTCACCCTTATTCTATATTTAAAAAAGATTCTATTGCAATTATAGGCATTTAGGCTGATGATGGCTTTTATAGTGCAACTTGAAAATGGCTATTTAATATTGTTATATCAATATGATATATTCCAACATACAATTATGTTATGCTTAAATAAATTATGTGTATTCAACTAATATTATTTAATTATGTGTATTGAATTATATTGTAACTTGTCATTGCAGGTAATGTTATAAAATCTTGCTACTTTCTTATTCCAGGGAGACAGGCGACACTATCGCCGGCGTGATGTCACTGCCGCTCATTTGACTGCGGCTAATGCTGAGAATCGACTTCTGTGTGTGCCGTTGTTGCAAGCAGAAAGAGCTTGGGCTCATGCAATGCAACTAAGACAGGAAGCAAACACAGAGCCAAGAAAGAAGTTCCATCTAGTTTCTCGTTTGAAAAAGGCGTATGCACATGCTCAAACTTTGATGCAGTTATGCGAGGTGAATTTTATTTCATTTATTGTCACTTATGATTTTTTTAAAGCTTTAACAATTCATATTACCTATCTAGGCGCTATCCATAAATTTCACAGTACGCGAGCAACCCGAGTTGCAAAGCACCGGTACCATTGTAAATGTTAGTTGCAATTTTAAGATTTGTCACGTGCTCACATCGTTAGTTGTCTATAGACTGTAAATTTATTTTAAAGTAAAACTTCTTTACGCTCGCTTGACTTGGGGAGTAAGCTGGCGAACGCGTGACGAAAGCGTTACGATAAGTGTGATCGGGCGAGGCGAACGGGAGTTGAGTGGGGGATATAAGCAAGAGATTGCAGTGCGCGCGCACGTTTTCTTTCTCACTTTCTCTCATAGCTACGTACTACGTATATAGTTAAGTTCTGTATTTTATTAATTAATATTTTGTTTAATACATTAAATATTCTACGTTTATAGTGAATAAAATTGAAAATTTCGGATGAATAATAACAAATTATGGAAGGAGGCCGATTATGTATTTAAATATTTGTAGAAAATTAATATATGTACATGTACATATATTAATTTTTCTATATACATATATATATATATATAGATGGAGCTAAAGAAGTTTTACTTCAGTAGTGTGGTCATAAGCACACTCGTATTTTTTATATGAAAACAATGCATTTATATAATTTGATAGAGCGGGGTGTGCGATGCGCGCACTCAGCTGGAGGCGGGCGCGTACGCCGCGTGGCTGGGCGGCGTGCTGCTGCTGGAGCTGCAGCAGTGGCGCGCCGCCGCCGACAGCCTGCAGCGCGCGCAGCTCGTGCTCGACAAGCTGTGCGCCGCGCTGCCCGACGACGAGCGCCACGTCTACAAGCAGAAGGTGACCGACGCCTCAATATCGGGACTCACTCACTTGTCACTTGAACTCACCATTGATTCAGTTTCTTTTCGTTTTAAAGAATCGAGTCTTTTTCGAAGGTTTTTAAAGTTTTAAGTTATATAAAAATTGCTACCTATTTTGTCTTGTGTATACCTTTATGTTATTGTATGTGTATTTCTATATTTTAAATGTATTTATTTATTATATTATATTACATATAATATTTAAATGTATTTATTTATTATTAATTATTTATATTTATGATATGTATTTATTGATTATATATTTATAATATAATAAGCTGAAGTGGCAGTCGGCCAGAAGAGTCGCAAGAACAACCAACAACCGATGGGCAATGAGGAAGAAAGGTTATCGAGTGGCACCCTCGTACCGGTAACCGAAATGTAGGGCGGCCACCCCGCTACGCCTGTGATCAGCACTGGACTTGTAAAGGGCTGTGATGATGATGATGTTGATGATGATGTTGATGATGACGATGATGATATATTTGTAAGTATTGTAGTCTTAGATGTGTATATTTTGTAATAAATTAAGTACATCTGCAATGTGGTTGTCTGGTAGAGATATCTTCTAAGTGATAATGCCGCCAACTGTACCTTTACATTATTTATTGTTCTTTTTCCTTTCTTGTTTATTGGTGTGCAGTATAGTATATTTCATTTATTCATTCATCATGAATATTAATTTTAAATAAAACTTGTTAACAACACAGGTAGAAGAGTTGAAGCCAAGCTTAAGGTACTGCGCTTACAACATCGGCGACCAGTCGGCGGCCGGCGACCTCCTCGCCATGCGTGGACAAGGGCTCATCGAGAATCTAGACACGCTCATGGCGCAGGCCAAGTATGTTCTCGTATTTCATTTCCTAATATTGATCTTATCTTATAAACGTTTTGTCGTACACTGTGTCGACGTGTACACTTGTATCACTAAAATATTTATTTTTATAGGATAGGATGACAAACGAGCACACAGTCCACCTGATGGTAAGTGGTTGCTGTGGCCCATAGACAGCTACATCTATCTTTGATTACAAATCAAAATGCAGATGCGTTGTCACCCGTGAAGACTAAGATGGAATGCCTCGTTTCCAGTAAAAAGGGTCTCCGGTTCTCTACACTCACCATACGAAACACAGCAGCATTAGGCTACTATTTTACGCTGGTATTCTGTGAGAGCGTAGTCCTTCTCAGGTCTAGCAGACCTATTCCTGCTACAACTATACTACTAATATAATTGCAGCGTGGCTCTTCCACGTATAAAAATACTAAATTATGTACGTTGTAGTCACAGTTTAAAGACCTTACAGTTGGGAAAAATAATTTTGAGTGCCGTTTTCGTAAAATATGAGTTACTAAGTAAAATTGGTAGCATACAACGGCCATGCTTGCTTTTCAAATTTACGTACATAATTAAATTTAATAATCGAAAACTGAAAACATCTATGAAAAGAAAGTGTCATGAAAATATTTGGCAGTGCAACACTTGTAAATGCATTTTCTTGTAGTAATAAAAAAATATTGTTACGAGCTTGTGGTTCGTGACAATAAAAATTGCCGATAAAATTACCTAAATTACACTTTAATTTACTGTACACAAATTAAAACTTAAAACACTAATAATTAAACACACTAATTCACTTAATTCCGCTCCGAAGCTTCGCTTGTTTCGCCCAAATCAACACTACTCCCATCGCATCTTGCAGCGCCTATATATTTAAATTAGCAAAGAAATATCCAGAATGTTCAAGTAAACACGCGCAAGGTACCGAGCGTTCGAGTTTCGACTAGGCGCTGTCAGTTGAGTGATTTGTGATGTCATTTTCTCAATGCTCCCCTCGCTCTCGTTCCTGACACTAGATGGCGCTAGTTGACTTATTCATGCAACACTGCCCCCTCCTAAGACATGCTCGTCCCGAGCATTATCGGTCCCATAATAACGCGCCAAGCGATCCACATGGACGATCTTAGGAGTCCCTCTTGCGCCTTTCTGTATCCGGTAGGTCACATCGTTGATCCTGGTTACAATCCGGTACGGGCCGTCCCATTTAGCTTGAAGCTTAGGAGATTTCCCTTTGCTGCGGACTGGATTGTGCAACCACACAAGTGAACCTTCGTCGAACCCTTTGTTGTTCATTTTGCGGTCATACCGGGTTTTCATCTTTTCAGACATTTGCTGGCAAGATTGTCTGACGTGCTCATAAACGTCATTCAATTTTTTCCGCAAGTCATTTGCATAATCGGTTATACTGCGTGGAGCATCGGGTGGTATCCCGGTGATCAGGTCTGCAGGCAGCCGTAATTCTCTTCCAAAGTTTGCGAAAGCTGGTGTCACTGTTGTACTTTCGTGAACAGAACTTCGATATGACAACAAAAACGGTTGTATGTGCTTGTCCCAATCTCGTTGCCGATTGTCTACAACTTTTGCTAGGTACCTCTCCAATGTCTGATTAAATCGTTCCACCATTCCATCAGATTGCGGGTGATAAGAAGTCGTTCTTGTTTTATGAGTACCCATAACTCGGCAAGTTTCCTGGAATATTTGAGACTCAAAATTCCTTCCTTGATCGCTGTGAATCTCTAAAGGTACTCCAAAACGACAGAAGACTTCATGAACTAGTTTATCTGCAACTGTTGAAGCTTCTTGATTTGGAATGGCGAAGACTTCTGGCCACTTAGTGAAGTAATCCATCACAACCATGAAATACTTGTTACCGCTTTCACTCTCCGGAAACGGCCCCGCCACGTCAATGGCTATTCTCTCCCATGGTGCACCAACATTGTACAACTTCAATGCACCTCTACTACGAGTCTGAGGTCCCTTTACAGCCGCACAACTTGTACATTTGCGACACCAGTCCTCGACATCGTTTCGACAGTGGACCCAGTAAAACCGTTCTCGGATCTTCAGTAGAGTTCGTTTAACTCCCAGATGGCCTCCTGAACAATCATTATGGTACAGCTGTAGAACATCCGGTACTTTAACTTTAGGGACAACCATTTGCAAATGACAGCTGTCTCCCCGAACGTTTTCCCATTTACGACACAGAACTCCATCCTGAAGCAGCAAGCTGTCCCACTGGGCCCAATAGCTTTTAGTGGTCGAACTCATCGCTGAGACGTCACTCCACTTGGGCTTGGGAGCACTGGCCTTTATCCATTCCAGAATCGGCTTGATGTCCGGATCTTCCTGCTGTGCATGTAGTAAGCTGTCCTTCCACTCGTTGCTGAGGTGGTCTGCCCTGAGCATCCTCACGGATACCACTTCCTTACTCTCTTGCCTAGTACAATGTTTGCAATCTTCAGGACAAGGTCTTCTTGACAATGCATCTGCGTTGCCATGAGATTTCCCGCTGCGATGTTCGATCTCAAAGTCGTATTCCTGCAGTAGTTCAATCCACCTCGCAACTTGTCCTTCTGGGTTTTTAAACTGCAATAGCCATTTTAGTGCAGCATGGTCAGTTCGTAAGTGAAATTTTCGTCCCAGAAGATATTTGCTAAAATGTTGCAACGACTTTACCACAGCTAGCAATTCGCGTCTTGTGACACAGTAGTTCCTTTCCGGTTTTGACAACGACTTGCTGAAGTACGCTATCACGACCTCTTGGTCACCATTACGTTGAGACAACACACCGCCAAGTCCTATATCACTTGCGTCTGTGTCAACTATAAATTCTTTGCTTGCATCAGGGTATCCCAAAATAGGTGTTTTGCACAGACGGTCCTTGAGCTCCTGGAATGCGATGTTACAACTTTCATCCCAGCAGAAATGTCGCTTCTCCTCGGTTAGCTTATGCAGAGGTTAGACTATATCTGCAAAGTTCTTCACAAAACGTCGGTAATAGGAGCACAAACCCAAAAATGCTCTAACCTGCGTCTTGTCTTTTGGAACCGGCCAATCCTTTACAGCTGCGATTTTCTCTGGATCCGTGCGGATACCTTCTTCCGACACTACATACCCCAAAAAGTTGACTTGCCGTTTGAATAGTGAACATTTCTTCGGACTCAACTTAAGGTTGGCACTCTTAATCTTCATGAGCACGCGTTCCAGGTTTTGAAGGTGTTCCTCAAACGTACGGCCCACGATGATGATGTCATCCAAGTAGACCAGACAGGCATCGCCAGTTAGCCCGGTAAGTACAAGTTCTATCAGCGTTTCAAACGTTGCTGGGGCATTGCACAACCCAAACGGCATTACTTTAAACTGCCACAGACCCTTTCCCGTCGAGAACGCAGTTTTCTCCTTGTCCTTAGGGTCAATTTCAACTTGCCAGTAGCCACTTTTTTAGGTCCAGCGTGCTAAACCACTTTACTCCTGTAAGCATGTCCAGCGTGTCGTCAATTCTCGGCAAGGGATAGCTATCCTTCTTAGTAACGTCGTTTAGACGGCGGTAGTCAACACAAAACCGCAAGCTACCATCCTTCTTCTTTACCAGTACCACGGGTGAACACCATGGACTAGATGAAGGTTCAATAACACCATCCCTCACCATTCCCTCAATCATGGTTTCCATTTCCTTTTCACGTGCTACCGGCAATCGTCTTGGCCGCTGACGGATAGGCAACTCTTCACCTGTGTTTATTTTGTGTTGAACTAAACCAGTCTTTCCTATGTCAGCATCGTTTGATGAGAATACATCGGCGTACTCGAGTAACAACTTCTTCGCCTTCACCAATTTGTTCGGGGACAGAACACTGCGACAGTCTTCCAAAAGTGTGGTCACTCTCGTTTCTGAATCCTTGCTGGGGGTCCCACTCGATATATATTGGCACTGACGTAACCAATCCACTTCCTCACAAGTACCAACCAGTGTACCTTTTTCTATAATCTGTTCCCGGTCGCAAAGGTTCAGCACACGTACTCCTGAGATGTCAGTGGTCCTGACCAAGGTTCGAGCTACTTTCCATGGAAGGTTATTGTTTACCCTTTCCACAAGTACACAACGGTGAGCTTGCCCAGCGTTTCGAGGAAGACTAACCGGAACAATCGTTTCCGATCTCGGCGGAAGAACAATCTTCTTGATGCTGTACACGTTCCCTGGTAACGCACCTTCCATAAAAAGTTCCTCCTGTCCACATTTCAAAACACCTTGCTTAACGTCGATCTCGCAACAATTATTCCTCATAAAGTCTAAGCCTAGGATGCAGTCGTCCATTATATCAGCCACGATGACATTATGCAGGTAGATCACGTTGCCTAGCTTTAACTCCATCTCCTTCTCTCCACGGACGGGTATACGCTGACCGGTGGCTGTTACCAAATTAATGCGTTCTCGGTTGTATGCGGAGTCCCCAAGGAACTGGCTTATAAGTTGGGAACTAACAACCGTACGAGAGGCTCCAGTGTCTATGGTCAGTTTACACGGCATTCCGTTGACCTCGCCCTTGATGATTAGACTGTTCCCATCATGGGTTTGTGAGATCGAGATCCTTGGGGCTCTTTTAACATCAGCCAGCACCCGCCCCGCAGTTCTGGCTTTTACTCGTTTCCCTGCTGCTGCTGGGCGGTACTGTTGGCCGCACTACCCTCCTGAGATCGTTCACCTTCCCTTTCTAGGGTTCGCTTAGGGCAGCTGGATCGAAGATGGCCCTTTTCCCCACAGCCATAGCACCTAGGGCTGTATCCTCTGTTGCGGTCGCGAACTGTATCTGCTGCAACCTCCCTGATGCGATGGGAACGATGATCCTGCCGCACGGCTTCCACCTCCAGTGCATGGGCCAAGGCGTTCTTAAGCGTGTCGTGGTGCCCGAGTCTCACAGCAGCTCTGACTTCAAGGTCGCGGATGCCGTCGATGAATGTCTGAACCAGGTTCCCTTCAATGAGCGCAGGTACAGACTGGTATGCTTTTCGAACCATCTTCTCCACCTCAAGGGCCCACTGCTGCAGGTTCTCGTTGCTGCGCTGCACGCGATCTTTAAGCTGCGCGCGAAAGACGTGTTCCAGAGGTGTTTGGGGAAGCTGCTCATGGGTCACTTTCTTACCGAGAGCTTCCAACACAGTTAAGGCTTGGTCGCGCAGGCCTAGGGTGAGTGCAGTCATGGCTTGGCTTTTATTCCAGCCGTTCGCCTCCATGACGGCCTCGAACTGGATTTTGTAGGCCGACCAGGAAGAGGTCCCGTCGAACGGCGGCACTTTGAATCCACGTAGCGAAGGTGCTGCAGCTACTACGGGAGCTGTAGTTCCATCCGCAAGTTTGAGGTCGTTTAGCGTTTTCTTCACGTCAGCCATCACGTTGTCAACCCGATTGTTCACATGGTTGATTCGGGTTTCATGTTCTTCGATTCGGGTTTCAGCTTCCGACAGGCGGTTGTCGTGTTGAGCAACCCTATCCTTCACGTCCCTTATCTCTTTCCCAAAGGTAGCGTGAAGGTCCTTCATGAGGAGCATCTGCTCTTCCGACCGACGAGCCTGTTCCGCCTGCTGACGGGCCTGTTCCTCTCGTCCGCTCTGCAGCTGCTCTTTCAACTGACGGACCTGTTCCTCCTGTCGGTGGGCCTGTTCCTCCTGTCGGCGGGCCTGTTCCTCCTGTGGGCGAGCCTGTTCCTCCTGCTGCTCTTTCAACAGACGGGCCTGTTCCTCTCGTCCGCGCTGCAGCTGCTCCTGTAGCATCGCCATCAGAGCACCTAAGTCAGGTGCTGCAGATGTAGGAGCTAATGACGGGCCCGCAGCCTCCGTGGCTGGCAGTTGGCCCTCCGACATCTGCGCCGTTGCACCACCAAATCTCCGCTGGTCCGTCTCATGCTGGCGTTGACTGCGGGTACGGACACCCTCCGTTTCTTCCTTAGGTAAAATCGGCATGATTTGATCCCACTTCTGACACCAATTGTTACGAGCTTGTGGTTCGTGACAATAAAAATTGCCGATAAAATTACCTAAATTACACTTTAATTTACTTTACACAAATTAAAACTTAAAACACTAATAATTAAACACACTAATTCACTTAATTCCGCTCCGAAGCTTCGCTTGTTTCGCCCAAATCAACACTACTCCCATCGCATCTTGCAGCGCCTATATATTTAAATTAGCAAAGAAATATCCAGAATGTTCAAGTAAACACGCGCAAGGTACCGAGCGTTCGAGTTTCGACTAGGCGCTGTCAGTTGAGTGATTTGTGATGTCATTTTCTCAATGCTCCCCTCGCTCTCGTTCCTGACACTAGATGGCGCTAGTTGACTTATTCATGCAACAATATCTTGTTCATTAAACGTTTTTAAATTATAATTATATACATAATGTTAATAAATTATAGTGAGTTTTATAATATGCAAAATCATTTTATTTCCATTTTTTTAACAAACCCTAGCATACATATAGCATACATGTAAATACCTAAGCGGGCGGCGGCATCGTCGGACATCAAAGGTGTTTCACATCTGTAAGGTCTTAAAACTATGGTGTAGTGGTCTGGTAAGAGATTCTACTACACCATATCATCCCATATGCGTTGAAAGGAGACGCAACTGAGGGAAATGAAGTTGGAGAGGGAGCAGCACCTTTTTGATAACAGCTCAAATTAATAAAATACTGCCTATGACGCAATAGTAAATAAAGTAATTAAGAATAAACTTACTTAGCAAATCTAAAAGCAAATTACCTATTCAGGAGTCTTTAATATTATAGACCACTTACTAATGTGGTGGAATCACATTAATAAGTTATATATTATAATCATTCAAGTTTCTTTTTTCTCTATATTACTACACCTATGTCAAATTGTACTTCGATGGGTTGACTGGTAGTTTATCTAGATGCATTAAGTCCGCCCTTTTTATTATTTTTAATAGGGAATAAAATAAATAATAAATGGTAAACAGTTTCCAGTGGAGATCACACACTCAGCTGATGCTATGTGGTTGCAGTACGAATGAGTTGCCTCGACCCAGGAACCCAGCACCACAATCTCACATAATAGCAGGTTAATGCTGCTATGTTTCGTATGGTGAATGTAGATAACCTCGTTTCCAGAAAAAAAAGGTCTCCACTTTTCCTACTGGAAATGAGGCATTCTTTCTTAGTCCTCAGGGGAGATAATGCATTTGTATTTTGATTTTTAACCAAGGATAGAGGAAGATATCTATGGGCCCCAGAATTCATTTACCATCAGGTAGATTGTGATTAATATTCTAATAAATATCTCCCATATTTGCCATAGTTGCCACGTTTGGCAGGGGGGTAGCAACCGCAGTTTTTAGTCTTATTTCTTAGTAGTTATAAATGAGATACTGCTGCTCATCTTCTGGTCCGTTTCCTCTGTCGACTTTTACAACGCCCACGAGACGTCAGAGTGCGTGTATGCGTATGCATGTGTATGTGTGTGTGTGTATGTGTGTTTATGGCCTACAGTATTTTACTGCTTATTTGTCACTCTGACTTGTATTAAAATACAGCGTTATATTACTTTATAATATTGACTCGCATATATATATATATATATTTCTCCACAGAGAGTCCCGCTCTGGAGTAATGCACGAAATAGAATGGCGCGGTCGTCGCGTTACTGTACGACCTGAGAAAGTGCGACTCTTTTTAATTGCCTTGCAGGACTTCGACAAATCCGTTCAGAACGCACAGAGCGTCGAAGCTAAGATCGAAATCCTCGAAAACATTCTTATGGACTGTAAAGACGCAATATCAGCCCTCAAAGATGAGATAAAGAACGATCCCAAGCTTAAAACGGCACCGGAAACTCAAATGCCAAGTATCAGTTACCTGCTTTCTTACTTGATGTATCTGCGCCTTATGCGGACTATTGAAAGGAACAACTTGTTAGTGCAACAAGCAGAAGAAGCGCGCAAGAAGAATACGCAAATAGACGGCAAGAAGGTGCGTCCTCAAGATTTGACGAGGTTGTACGAGATCATCCTGCAAAACTATACGGAGCTGCAGCAGTTGCCTGGATTTGATAACGACGCGGATTACCAAAAGGAAATCGAAACTGCTATGAAGGCGTACCGCGCTTTCCGTTGCTATTACATCGCGCAAGTGTTGACTGGACTCCGTCGCTTCAGAGAGGCCCTCGCTATGTTAGAACGCAGTAGCAACTACACTTCGGAATCTATCGCCAACAAACTAGACGATAAAGAATTACTGCAAAAACTAGAGATGCTGCAAAAGGATATTGAGAGTTGTAAGTTCGAAGTCCACGCGGACTCAGTACTAGAAGACGACGAGGAAGATGAAGAAATTAAGTACACTTCAAGTGGGAAACCTTATAAAGATAAAAAACCTTTGGTTGATCGTTTGGACGAATACAGAGAAGATACGCAAGTGCTCACTAAAAACCCCAACATTTATAAACTACCACCCCCGATGGAAGCGATACCTTGTAAGCCGCTGTTTTTCGACTTGGCGTGTAATTTCATCGAGTTCCCCAATCTGGATGATAAGACGGGAGCAGCTAACGGCAAGAAGCAAGGGGCTGGTATCACTGGACTTGTTAAAGGCTTTTTGGGATGGGGTAAAACTGACAAATAACTTTTACTATACATATTGCACTAAAATGTATTAAAATACAAGTTGCTTATATTGGAACATTATTTTGGTTTACTATTGATTTTTTCAATTCCTCTTTTCTGAATACTAAAGTGGAATACCTTGTTATTACTAAAAGGGGTCTCCAGTTCTCGTCACTCACTATTATTAATATTTAATGAAAAACCCTCTCAGAAATGAACCTGTGCCCAGAAGTGTGACGTATATAGGCTCTAACTTTTATTCAGTGCCAGCATGGTCCTTTTGTGGGCGAGCACTCATTTCTGCTGTAGCCATGATATTCTCATTACACATTAGCAATCTGATTTTAAAATTGGGATTTTTCATAGCGCAAACGGTATTCATACTTACACGCAAATATCGCTATACCTGGCATGTTCGATACGCACATATGCAGAGAAACCTTTTAATTAAAAGTTTCACGACAAACCTACATTCAATTCGTATACATTCTATATATATTAGAAAGAACCTATATTTAATTGCACCACTATATTAGCATTATGTTGCACTATAATAACTACAAAATTGATATTCTACCGGTGCCCTTATCAAGGACTCACGAGCAATCAACATAAGTTTAAAACTAAAGAGGAATAACATGATTTAACTCCTTTTTTTCACCATCAAATCACCAGACGTTGCGGTTGTCTATACGATTTGTTATGATAAGCTAAAGCGAAGAAGTGGAATAATCTATCAGCGCCCAATTACAATGTAATTGTATCTAAGGCGAGTAAATAGGCGTTTATTACGCTTAGTCAGTGTGATTTACCCTAGGTCTAGTTCTTTGAGTATACTACCAACTGGAAAGGCCATGCGTGTTAATTCCTATACAAAAAGTCTGTAACTTTCAGAGGGAGGCGAGGATAACACACTACTATATACTTCACTACAAATACAAATTGAATCGCGTCACTACACATGCAACTACAGCATTTGTCTTTGTGTTCATTGCATTTTCGCACACCATCAAATTATACACGTGTCGATACACTGGTGTCTCCAGTGTTTCCACTATCAAATTTTAATTTTACCCCAATTTTTTTTTTGACAATTGCCCTAAAAATATTTCAAATTAGTTTCCGTAAATCCTTGATTTAGGGCGTTTTTAAGAGTTATAAATTAAACGAAAACTTTATCCTTTGATCTTTTTATTGCATGTTTTCCGAGAAACCCGCATATAGTCTAGTTCCATTTTTAAAATCTTATTAGAATGGTTCAGATGTCCATCTAAGGACGATGACATATTATCACCAGTTTTACAATACGTTAGCTTAGCACTCAAAAATTGACAAGGAAACACTATAATTTAATTTAATTTCTTCAGTTCTGTCGTTCACAAAGTTATCGTAGTAGACTACATTAAAATAGTGCTACCACCTTTATATTCGATTTTACCCCAAATTATCCTAATTCCCTAAAATATAAAATAGCCCTAAGCCATACTTTAAGTTAGCGGTTTCGCCCTAAAAAAAAGGCGAAATCCCTAAAAGTGTAAACATAACACACAATGGGGCGAGGGCTATATCGATATTTTTTTATTGATAAACAAATCATCACCCATAGCCCGCATAAGTTCAGCGTTTGTAAAAGTGATTTTTTTGTGTTTTTTCATTCATTACAGCCCTTTATAACCCCACTGTTGAACACAGGCCTCCCCTAAGGAATGCCACAAAGCAAGGTCCTGAGCCACCTGCATCCATCGACTTCCTGCATGTCTTACCAGGTCGTCACTCTATCTAGTGAGGGGACGTATACACTTTTAGCACCGGTACGAAGCTGCACTCGAGAACCTTTTCCCCATCAGTAATCGGTTCTTCGAGCTATATGACCGTCCCATTGCCACTTCAGCTTACTAATCCTTTGGACTATGTCAGTCACTTTGGCTCTACCACGGATATTCTTATTTCTAAGTTTATCTATAAAGTAACCCCGAGCATAGCCGTATTCATAGCTCGCTGAGCGACTTTGAACTTTTTAATACGGCCAGCAGTGAAGGGATTTTTTTTTGCAATAAAAAGTTATGATTTTATTAGTTAATGGATTTATGGCCAGTTTTTGAAAGACTGATCAAACTCCAATTTTAATTCAAATTTAATCATAAAGTTGGCTACGGGTGCTATTCCACGTTGTATAGCTTCAACGGAATTATCGGATATAAAATCAAACCTGTAGTCGACATACCCATAATGCATTTCGCTATTAGCATGATATTCCGTACAATTTTTTTATCAGGGTTACTCTCCGCCTTCAATTTTAATGCCGTCAGCGCTTCTTGAGTAAACCCTGGTCGGCCATCAATGGCACTGTACCACTTAGTCAATGTCCGTGGTGCAGGCAAACATGTTCCAAAAGTTTTACGTACATAGCGATAGTCTTTTGGTTAATAATTAAGTGTTAGGGTGAAATATCTTAATTCCATGGGAATATTTAGTTCTGGCACATAATAAATAATAGTATAAGAACAGAAGGATCACTCTCTGATAGCAAACTTGCAAGTTTAAACCTAGTTACAACGTCGCTAATATTCATAACACTTTGCACGCTTCGCAAGAAACTTTCATGAAATTAGCCTACGGATTAAATCGTCGAAAAAAATTTAATGCGGCGCGCGTATTAAGTCAAAATTCACCTTACGTCCGCGTGCTAGTGTCTGTATCACTTAGCCCGACACACCGAGGTGTTATGCAATGTATTAGTAATTTGCTGATAGTAAGAATATATATTATTGTTCAATGTAAGGTAGGTTAAAGGTATTATCAATATAGTATCCATATGATATATTAAGGTGTAATAGTATTAATAAGTAATATATATATATATATATATATATATATATATATATATTTACTTGAAACGGCGAAACCGGACTTGCTCTTTATAACCGAGACACAGGAGTCTTCTCCGGCTGATACTTCGTATCTCTCCTACCCGGGGTACAAATTAGAACACTCCTTTGTGCCCCTGCTGGAGTTTGCGTGTACGTCAGGGAGGACATCTGTTTTCGACGTCTCGGCAGCCTTGAAGGTACGGACCTGTCCATCGTATGGCTGCACGTAGACAGCGACGACCATCCCCGCATCTTATAGGTCCCATAGCTATAATGCCGACTCAGACCGATTCATTGTCCACGTCCAAATGGCTGCAGACTTCGTGCTACCACAGGTCCCATCCGCAGAGATCGTGATATTTGGTGATTTTAACGCTCACCGCGCTGTATGACTTGGTTCCCGTTTAAACGATTATGCGGGTAGATCTGTTTATGACTGCTTTAACAATTTACGTCAGACCATATGCCTGACACAAATGGTTACCTTGCCTACGCGGATCCAAGATGTGGAAGACCATGTACCTTCCCTGTTGGATCTTCTGCTGACCTCTCATCCGGACGGATATCAGGTATCCGTCGATGCTCCTCTTAACTCCTCGGACCATTGTCTGATCCGCTCTCATGCTCAAATCGCAGTTACGTTCTGCAGGTTGCCGCCGTGTTTGGCATTATAGGTCAGCCGATTGGGACGGGATGCGATCTTTTTTTGTATACTACCCTTAGGGGCGGGTTTGCTTCTCGCCGGATGAGCCCAGCGTTGTTGCTGATTCTGTCGCTGATGTGGTGCTAAAGAGAATGAAATTTTTATTACATCAACTGTGGTATTTATCGGAGGCAGAACTTAGCCACGGTTTGGTCGCTCCTGCAAAATTGCATTACGCCATAAGCAGGAGTGCTGCCACGCCTGGGCTGACGCATCTACGACTTGGGATACAAATACCAGCGCTCTTAAAAAGAAGTATAACTCCGCTTCCAGGTCCTTCAAAAGTGTCATTGTCAAGGCGAAGTCAGAGCACATAGGCAGAATTGGCGAGAAACTACTTCGATTTCCTTCGGGAACACGTGCATTCCGGTCTCTCGCCAAGGCTGTCCAAGGGAACTTCTGTCAGCCATCTCCCCCATCTCTGCACAGAGAGGACGACTCGTTAGCCCATGCTGCAAAGGACAAAACCGATCTGCTGGGCTCTCTCTCTTTGCGTCCAACTCGACTCTTGATGACGTGGGGAAAACACCGGCAACGATCCCGCGGTATGAGTACTCCATGCCGGATGTGCTGTTTATCCAGTGCTCGGTGGCAGAGCACTCCTCTCCCAAGACATAAACAAGTCGAATGGGCCTGATGGCGTCCCTCCGATAGTGCTGACGACGTATGATCCTGAGTTGGAACCGGTTTTAACGCGTCTTTTACGGTATTCCTATTCCGTGGGCGTAGTCTCGAAATCATGAAAGACAGCTTTAGTGCACCCGATCCCTAAAAAAAGGTGACCACTCCGATCCGTATAACTACAGTCCTATCGCTTTCATCTCCTTGTTCTCCAAAATAATGGAATCCGGTTCTCCAAAATAATGGAGTCGGGGTCGCTCAGCTGGTGATCTGGGTTACCTAACATATAGATGGGCGGAGGCAGTAGAGTCCGAGGGTGAAGCGTTGGCTGTTAGTTTGGATATAGCGAGTTCGATCGGGTTTAGCACAAAGCGCTTCTTATGAAACTTCACCAGTTTTCATCGTAGTAGAAGTCGTAGTAGACGGTGCTTACTCCGATAACAAGTACCTATATTAATGCTGGTGTTCCACAAGGTTGCGTGCTATCACCGACGCTGTTTTTTCTGCATATCAATGATATCTCTCTTATACACCGGGCGTGCTAATATTTCTCGGGAAAACGTCGCTGAGTACCGGGACAAAATTGTGTCTGAAGTCGAGATTTTGTTGAACAAAATCTCGGACTGGAGGCGACAATCTAGTCCAATTTAATCCAGAAGGCACAAGTTTATCGCTAAAGAGGACCCCTTCGTCGTATCTCCTCAGTTTCAAGGCACTCCCCTTGTTGTCTCAGCCAGTACCGGAATCCTCGGCATCGACATATCGAGTGACGTGTAGTTTCGTGGTCACTTAGAAGACAAGGCCAAATTGGCCTCTAAAAAGCTTGGCGTGCTCTGGAGAGCGGGACAGTCTTTCATTCCGGCACACCGCCTACAACTTTACAAGGCGCAGGTTCGGCCGCACATGGAAAACTGTTCCTATCTCTGGGCTGGGACTCCCCAGTGCCAGCTCCTTCCACTTGACCGCATCCAGCGCACAGCGGCTCGAATCGTCGACGATCGAGTGCTTTCCGATCGGCTCGATTCTCTTTGCATTTTCTTTCGCATATACCATGGGGAGTGCTCTGAGGAATTGTTCGGATTAATCCCAGCCGCCAAATTTCGTGAACGCACTACGCGGCAAACGTCCCGATACCATCCACACCATCTAGATGCTTGGCGGTCCACCACTGTACGTTTCACAAGGAGTTTTCTTCCGCGTACGACCTCTCTGTGGAATAGTTTACCGCTGGCGATTTTTCCGGACCGATACGACCTAGGGACCTTCAAGAAAAGAGCTTACTCGCAACGCACCTGCAATTCTCCTAGTGTTGCGGTTGATCATGGGCGGCGGTAGTCACTTACCATAAGGTGAGCCGCATGCTCGTTTGCCCCCTTATTCTATAAAAAAAATCACACATTTACATCGGCGTATGGTCTTTTAACTGCAGGGAAGCGAGCAGATGCCTCTAGATATGAAACATTTTTGGGACGTGACCAGTTTAATGCCTTTTTGTCTTGAATGTTCAGGGCAACTTTTATCAGTTGCCAAGTGGTTAGCAGAACAGAACAGGCATGTTGGGGTATAGTAACACAATTATCTCCAGTGTGCTATATAAAGCATTTGAAGCAGCGTGGCTTTGATCTGCACTGAGCCTTTACATGTCCAAAGCGACAGCACTTCAAACACTGTATGGAAGGTTTCGACAGGAATTGATGTGTAAAAGCAGTATAAGTGAGAAGTAAGCTCTTGACCTGAAAACAACAACGGTTTGGGTGACCACCCACTCAATATCATCACCTTTCTTTACTGTTCGATGTAATCTCCTAGCTTTTATACTGTCTCCTCTGCCAGAGGGTGGTTCCAACTCACACACCAACTCCTCAATGGAAATATCAGTTGGTATACCTCTAACAAAACCCATTCTGGTAACATTAAAGGTTGGGATGACTGCTGATGGTTTGTATTTAGCAAGAAAAGATGCTTCGATAAATTTATTGGCATCTGAAGCAGTTTTAAAAGCTATTGAGACCCTGTTACGACCTAAATTCGTAATACTTTGTTTTTCAATATTGGAAAAAGGTCGGATTGTATAACCAGATGTAGCTTCGGGTTCTATACGCTTAAGGTGAATAGTAAAGGGCCCTTTATCACTATCTATGTATTTTTTCTTTTCTAAAAAATCAGGGTGGGTGTAAATATTTTAATATATGTATATATACAAATTAGTTAAAATATATCCGAAAATCGCTGAAACACGTGTGACTACCAATCACTCTGGCAACATAATCCAATTATATTTATTTAAAAATAGCCTTTTTGCACTTCGTGAACTATTATGGCAACACATGATATTTCACGAAAATATTCAGAAAATACGAGTTTTTACAATAATATTATTTTAAAAATATTCACAGATGAAGTCACGTTGTCCTTTTGTAAATTTGACGTTTTTATTTTACACTGCAATACGGTATTTTTATCAGAGCTCGATTGACTGGCACGATCACTTGCGGAATGGTCACAGAACATATATACCACTAATGGTGCACGAAGCTGAGCAACTAGTTTTATATAACGTATGAGCCGGACTCTCGTACTTTTGACAGAGGAATATGCCTTGCGATGTCGCCTCCTTTTTTAATAGACAAAGGTCTAGTTTTATCACCACTTACCAGCATAAGGGATAACAGTAAAGCACTCAGTTAAATTAATGTAGAAAACCGAGAGACAACTGCAGATAAAATTGACGAAATCATCATCTCGGTTTCTCGGTCGGTTGAAAATAAAATTGTGGTCGTCTGTATTTATTAAAGGCCATTAATAATTGCCCGTACTCGTTTTTACATTTTTAGTAACTTGCTTCCTCTTGTTTGTAAGTTCGGTACACAATCCACTTAAAACTAACTTCAAGATGAGTCAAAGTTGAATCTTTAAATGTGTAGGTATATTTTAAGTTAGTTAAGAAGAGAATTACAACAGACTTCTTCTCTGTTTGTGTCTGTTCGGTACATATTTAGCAATCGATTTTTAACTTATTTCCCGATGAGGTAGAAGACTTGAATCTTTAAATATAGCTCAAAACTGGAAAAGTAGCAAAAATGGTCGCCATTTTGTATTAAAACGTGGTAGAAACATGTTACGGAGTATTGACTGCAGCACAATTGGGTTGACTTGACTGAGGAAAGACCCCGCTCGCACAGAACACTAGCTAGAAATAGTAACAACGCTGTTGTTTCGTATAGTGAGTGAAGAGAACCGGACCGAATGCCTTTTTTACTGAAAATAAGGTATTCCATCTTAGTCCACGTAGTCGATAACAAATTCGCATTTTGACATCTGAGATGGACTGTATGTTCCCTTATCAATGTTACTTTAAAAAAAAAAGAAAAAAAAACTAAATAAAAATGGAAAAAACTAAATAAGTGAAGTTGTACTGTTTAATATTTTAATGGGTAAGCTTAGTCGAAAAACTGCTCGAGCACTATTCCTTGTGCAAATTACGCAACTGATTACAAAAATTTACTGTAATTGGAAAAAGTTATTTGTTTTACAATATTACAGAATATTTATTGATCATTTAATATTTGAATTGTTCTTCAAGTAATTTGGATTGCCCCTCAATGTTTCCAAATTTCTAAACTAATCAAAAGGAGGGAAAGGAAGTAAAAAATAATTCGTATATAAACGTGAACTATATTCGTATATTCATTTGTTATCATCACCAGAAACACACCCAACAGTTTTCAACAAATTTATTACTCCTCAGAACTGTTTTCAATAATCTAAAATGACTACTTTGTTCGGAAAAATACAAAAGCCTATTTGCAATTAAAGAGTTCAGATGTATTTAACGAAATGAAATAACGAGTTAAAGCACTAGCTTTGCTGCAAGTACAAAAATATAATAATTAGAATTAAACAATATATTTTACACTGTGTCACATTTACATTTTATATAATCACATTTAGCTTATTCATTGCGATACTGTCATCTTCAAAATGTATTTGATTACATGTCAATCACATGAAGCATATGCGCAATGTTTCATAAACATTTTACAAAAAATTAATAACAATAGACAACCATGGACTGTATTAGTAGATCATCTTTAACAGAACATAGCACATCCTTGTATATTACAAAAAAGTACAAAATTATGATCATAAGCATGCTATTACTCACATAGACATAGGCTGAACTAAACTTAATCAAGATAAAACATACAGTCGACTATTTTGAAACCTCTCATTAATGCTATTACATTATCTCAACAAATGATTTTGAGAAAACAAAATACACACCATGTATGTAAAATCAAGGCCTTCTGTTTGTGAGTGTACAATATAATAGTCTGTTTCGTGCTCAGCAATATTTCACTAACATATGATGTTGATAAGTTTGAAATATGTATCACAATTAAGTTTGTAAATAACTAACGAGTTGCTAGAGGCGGCCAGTGTGCAGTGTCGTGAGCGATACGATCGCTGGGGGATAGCAGCTGGCCGCACGTCATGCACACGTCCAGTTGTGAACTGACATTCCTGCCCACAACTAACTCTTGTTGCTTCGCTATATCAGGCAAAAGTGCCACTAAATCGGGGAACAAGGAGTCCATCTGCGGGCCCAAGGCTGATTGGCAGTGTTGATAGAACTCCTCGGCGCTTATGATGCTGTCTCGGAACGCCCTAGAGGCCACTTTGAAGTTTTCGACCGCCGAAGCATCCCCTAGAGCCGCGGCAAACTTTTTAACTAACGCTCGATTCCTCTGTTCAAAGTCAGGCGGCGGTATATAGGTGTGCACTGGGGCCGGAAATGTTTGGCCGGCCGAGTTAGTGAAGGTCATACCGTCACATTTTAATGGCGGCCTTGGTTTAAAGCCAGGTGGCACGCTGCCATTATGTAAGCTTTTTGCGGGATCCTGATTTTCATTCTTTGGAGTAAGTGGTGGATAGTCCTTTGGCGCCAAAGTGAAGTTTTGGTTGGCAGTGTTGCTACTTTTCTGAGTATTTCCCATTGCAGTGGCAGGGTTGTCTGCGACTGTCTTTATTTTCTTATCAGACTCAACACTTTGATTGTTGCTGTTAACACTTGGAGTGATGTAGGATAGATCGTTATCACTCAAACCATTCATATGGTTAGAATCGTAGAAGTTCTCCTTTTTGGCGGTAGTGGTCTGTTTCTTTTTCTCCTTTTTATTCTTTACATTTTCATTCTGTACAGAAGTGTTTACGGGAGTCACTTGCGGCTGGGATTTTTTTGGTTTCGATTTCGCCATATTGACTGGCAACGTTGGAAAATCAGCAACAGCGTTGAATGCAGGCCCTTTAGAGGGTGGTTTCGGTTCCGTTTTCTGTTTCGGCTTCTCTTTTGATTTAGAAACGTTGATCCACTGAGGTGGAGCCGTGGGCGCAGACGTAGACGACAGTGCTGGGAAAGCTTCCGCGCTTAGGTTTGTTTTCCTTGGCTGGTTATGAATGTTGTTATTTTTAAAGGCTTGCATTTCCTCGCTATTGATCATTGTGACCTTTAATGACATAAATACAAACATCATACACAAAGTTCAAAAATGTTATTAAACTAAGTTTGTATAAAAAGGGTTATTATAATATTAAGAAATTTATGGATGATAATAACCCCTGGGTGATCGCTACCAAGCTATTTCTAATTTGTCTTGTGTTGTTTATTGTAAACATGACTGTAAGCTATTATTGGAAAAAAAAATAGTCCCGCTGGGTTTCTTGCTAGTTCTTCCCAGGATAGAGGTTTTTTTGCGAACCAGTGGTAAATGAAAAAAGTGACTTTCAATAAGTATTGTTATAATCTACATTGAATAAAAAAAGTTTCTGTTTCTGTATCTCAATAAGTTAATTTTAGAATTAATTAAAAAGAAGAAGTTCTAAATTCGCACACAAAACAAACTAGCCTAATAGCACAGTTTAAAGACATCACAGTTGGGAAACGAATGTACTGCACTGCGGGCCACGGGACGGACAGACCTGTGCTAGCGCATTTCACTGAGTCTGATCGACAATACATGCGGTTGGCACGAGTGTGTTTTATAATACTTATTTAACTAAGTTGAAGGGCAGTTTTATATTAATATTATAATTTATGATTGCTAATGATTATAATCATAGATAAACATAACTATGTATTATCAAAATACATTCGGACCTTGTGTTAATGTATAAACAAAAATTGTTGATAGGTTCTTACATTGATGTTTTTACATTCCTTAACTTAGCAGAACAAAAATCGGAATTGCATGCGAAAATTTTTGGCATCATCAATGTATTATTCCTTGGTATATTAGTACTTTCTGCTTTTACGAATCCGTCTTTCAGGATGACTTTTCAATAAAATTCGGTATAAAACGCAACAATCGTAATGATAACTTGAAAATTTTCGAAATAACACACAGCACATTAGAAAGTTCACGTAACCAGTGAACCTTCAAGGCGTAATGTGCTGTGTTTGGATTTGTCGTAAAAAAATATTTTTTAATTATGAAATTTATTGAGTTTTTATGAATATAAATCAATATTTCTCGTTTACTTTTTACAAAACCTATCATAAATATATATATTTTTCATGGTGTAAAATACCCTATTATAGGTCCGTGCTTTAGCCAATGTTTAAAAAAATATCCAATATTATAAATCACCTTTGGCGGTTGAGTAGTACCAGCACCAATGCTCGGGTGATCATCTCTTCCAACACTGAGCGAGGGGAAATCGTCGTCACTCAACGGTGGCTGCTTCTTCTGCGCTGGTATTGATATACGGTTGCTACTTGTCTGCGTTATCCTGAAGTTGCTGGCGCTTGCCGGCTGACTGTGCAGTTGAATGGATACACTTGGTTTAGCTGTCGGTAAATAACATAAAGAACCAATAAATAAATAAATTGTAATGTTACTTAAACTAAAATTTTAATGATAATGTTTTCTTTTTTTATAATAAAACCAAGATAAAGTCTTCTAAGAAGGTAATGCTATAAAAAATAGTTAGTGCATTATTACATGTCGGTCATCATTTTTGTTTTATAGAATAAGTGTGACAAACGAACATACAGTCCACCTGATGGTACGAGGGGTGATCCAATGTAATGATAATGAAAATAAAACACGGTAATTAAAGTTAAAATAATAAATTATTTTTCTACATAGTCTCCTAACAAATCAATACATTTAGTCCATCTTTTTTCTAAACCCAGGATTCCCTTTGAAAAAAATTCTTTGTCTTGACCCTCCCAAAACGCTTCAACAGCGGCCATTACTTCGCTATCGTCTTCGAATTTCTTGCCTCGGAGGCGTTCCTTGAGCCGAGGAAAGAGGTAGAAGTCACTAGGAGCTAGATCTGGCGAATAGGGAGGGTGTTCGAGCAGTTCGATTCCCGTTTCTTGAATGGCAGCCATCGCAACTGCGGCTTTGTGAGCCGGTGCGTTGTCTTGGTGAAACAGCACTCCAGCTTGCAGTTTGCCGCGTCTTTTTTCCTTAATGGCCTCCCGTAATCTTCTTATTTGGTCTGCGTAGTAAGAGCCCGTAATAGTGGCTCCCTTTTCCAAATATTCCACCATAATTATGCCTTGAGCGTCCCAAAAAACAGATACCATAACCTTTCCCCCCGAACTTGAAACTTTGAATTTCTTTGGCGTCGGTGAGGAGGCTCGCTTCCAAGTCATCGATTGTTGTTTCGTTTCAGGATCAAAATGGTGGATCCAGGTCTCGTCCATAGTCACAAAACGGAACAAAAAATTTTCTTGATCTGCTTGGAACTTTTCGAGATTGACCCCCGATATTTCTTTTGCTCGTCGGTTAACATTCTGAGTACCCAACGCGCAGAGACCTTTTTCATATGCAACTCGTTCGCAAGGATTCTTTGAACGCTGCCATATGAGATCCCTGTGACATCAGCTACATGCCTGATGGTCACTCTTCGATCTGCCAACACAACATCTTCGACTTTTTTCACGTTGTCTTCAGTGAGGGACGTGGAAGGGCGTGCTTCGCGATGTTCATCTTCAGTGGATGTTCTGCCCAGTTTAAATTCCTTGGCCCAGCGTGCAACTGTAGAATATGGAGGAGCAGAGTCGCCCAATGTTTCCAATAAGTCACTGTGTATGTCTTTTGAAGACATTTTTTTCAAACAGAGGTACTTGATGACAGCTAATTTCGTTTTTCTCCATGTTGATGTTATCTCTTTGACAGTTCGTATTCAAATGAATGTATCTCCCGGAAATCGTGATCTATTTATATGATTTTTTAGTGACGTAGTGAGTATATAAGCAAGCAAAAAATATTTTTGATTTTTTGACTGAAGTAACCGATTATCATTAATTTACCCTCGTAAGTGGATGCTGTGGCCCATAGACATCTACATTTAACCTCGATTATGAATCAAAACGCAGATGCGTTGTCACTCCTGAGGACTAAGATGGAATGCCTCATTTCCAGTAAAAAAGGATCTCCGGATCTCTACACTCACCATACTAAACACAACAGTATTAAGCTGCCATTTTACGCTGGTATTCTATGAAAGCGTGGTACTTCCCGGTCGAGCCGACCCATTCGTCTACAACCACAATAGCTGCAGCGTGGACAAGGACATCATGATAAGGAACCATAACTGTTTTATGCTATTTTTATCGATTTGCTTATCATGCTTGGTATGTCGATTTTTGATCGCAGTGCCAAGTGGCATAAAATTATTCATCTATTGACCATACAATACAATACAATATATTCTGTTCTGTGTGTGACTTAAAAATCGAACAGAATTACCTAAATCAGTTTCAATTTATGGACTTTGTACTAGTTGGTATGGCATGCTCAACTTTTCTTACATTAATGATAAATATCATATTACAGCGCTTAATTACTACATTTACATTTAATACCCAGCTCAGAGGTCGTTTAAAATATTCGGACTACGGTTGAGATACATACAACATTTTTGCAACATTACAATATCATTCCTATTAATATTTAAGGAATCGAAAATTATATTTTTACGTGGTAGAGCCATGCTGCAGCTATATTAATTGTATAGTTGTAGCACGAATGGGTCGGCTCGACCGGGGAAGGACCACGCTCTCAAAGTATACCAGCGTGAAATACCAGCTTAATGCTGCTGTGTTTCGTATGGTGAGTGTAGAGAACCGGAGACCCTTTTTACTGGAAATGAGGCATTCCATCTTAGTTCTCAAGGCTGACAACGCATCTTCATTTTGATTCGCGAACGAGGATAGATGTAGATGTCTATGTGCCACAGTAACCACTTACCATCAGGTGGACTGTGTGCTCGCTTGTCACCCTTTTCCTATAAAAAAAATATTTCTTTCAGCCTTATATCTTACAGCAGATCCCACAATTAGATAAATTTAACTTGTTCATCAGGAACCCAAATTTATAAAATGCTGCCCGTGGTTACACCACGTTAAGAGTGCCTTAAGGCGGAGACCATTTATGCGTAAATAAATGGATGTGCCCGCTCATGGCGTGTGCTCGTTCCTAAAATAGGCTCGAAGCAGCGCCGTTAGAAGTCAGCTCAGTAGTCAGTCAGATTGAGAGGAAGCCAATATACAGCAGTGCAATTTTTTTTTTATTCAGTTAAGTGGGATAAAATATTTTTTCAGACTTTATCGAGCTTAATTTAAAGTTTCGGATACTTCACAGCACATGGGTGCTGTGACCATGGCCTCATGGGAGGACTGAGGTGTTTGATGACTCAATGTCAAAGTTAACCCTTGAATTTTGGTCTGATCTACACAGAAATAGTTTACTATACACTGAAGTGTTGCAGTGGTATACTTGTGTTTAGTATTAATTTTATTATTTACAGGATCCCAAGTAGGTGGGAAGTACTTAGTTTCTTTCTCTGTTGAAATTTCGATATTTTTGAATATTACATATCATCCTTGGTAAGAATATGATGTTTTTTCGCGAGAGTTTGCTGTTTATCAAATATGATGTAATGACAGGGGCAGTCTAAGATAATAAATATCACAGACTGCAGACTTCCCAGAGTGTTGGTGTTGTGTTAAGAATGCCAGATCGGAAGACCAAAATATCTCGACAAAATTTGAAAAGATCGGGATTTTGGGTTTGTAATCGGGAGAAACAAATATTGTAAATAAAAATGTTAAATAAAAAGTTTATTTTTGAAATGTATAGGCTGCTACAAAAAGATGACACATAACTAATTTAAATACATTTAATTTTTAGGTTGCCATATGTATTTGGTATTGGACTTTACTGAGTCCACCAATTTGGAACCATTATTAATATTCAGTAGATTTAAAATTCAAACAATTTACTTCAAAGTTCAGTCTAATTACTAACTCAACTTTTATTAAATAAAAACCAGCTATGATCTAAAGAGAAACTGTTTGTCTGGAGATTTTTAGTTTTTTCGGGAGAATCCAGACCAGGGGTCGCAAACCGGGATCCCGAATCTCGAAAATACCAGGATACCGGACTGAAACGAAATCTTTAAAATACCGGAATTGTGTGAACGGAAACCGGTATTTACGACTTTTCGGTATTTCATTATAAATCTTGGTTAAATAATATTGTGTCAAAAAAAATTAAATAGCCCACGCTTTTCGCGAGGTGGATGCTATGGCAATGCGGCTCGACGTTACTTAGCAGGAGTATTTTATGTTATTGTTAAGGCTGATTACTGGAGGTTTCTTATGTTTAAATAGTTTAAAATAACTTAGCAGCAGTGAGTTATTTATTAAACTTTAAATAAATGATTGATTTTTTTAAATAAATGTGATTTTCTTATCTTAACACACTTTTATTGATTGGCTGGTGACAATTCCCTTATGAAAATTACGGTTACATTACATATTTTTAAATATTTTTCTCACTAAGTATGTTTAAAAAAAACGAAAATACCGAAACTACTGAAATCTCGGTATTCATTAAAAACTAATACCGAAAACACCGGTTTTTGAAAAGAGGTCCGATATTGCGACCCCTAATCCAGACTAATCCCGACCATCTGGCAACCCTATGTTGTGTGTAGTGTTCACGTAAATATGTCTTAAAATTGCTTCCACAGTGAGGGGGCAATTCAAAATACTGATGATAATAAAACTGGGGGATACATTTTCGTGTTGCAGCTACGTATCTATCATCTACACCCAAAATTTAAATATCTTACTCGATAGTAAAAGGATGAAAATAGTGTGCAATTCACATGTGGTAGAATTGAAATAAATCACAATGACATTTCAAAAATTCGATACGTTGTGTGAGGACCGTGAGGCATCGCGCGCGGCAGAGGGTAGAGCGCCGTCATTTTGAGCTCGTTTCGTTGCGTCACATTTTCCGTATAGTATAAATTTTGACGTCACGTTCACGTATTCACGTAAAACAGACGGCCGTATCCACCACGCAGCCACACCTCGATTGTTTAGTTGTTTTTTTATAGGAGAAGGGTGACAAACGAGCACACAGTCCACCTGATGGTATGTGGTGCTGTGGCCCATAGACATATACGTCCATCCTGATTACGAATTAAAATGGAAATGCATTGTCACCCGTGAGGACTAAGATGGAATGCCTCGTTTCCAATAAAAAGGGTCTCCGGTTCTCTACACTCACCATACGAAACACAGCAGCGTAATGCTGCTATTTTACGCTGGTAGTCTGTGAGAGCGTGGTCCTTCACCGGTCGAGCCGACCCATTCGTGCTACAACTATACTATAGATCGTGCCACGTAAGATGAAATTAAATAGAATTCACTGCGCATGTACAATCGCGCAGAAAAATGAAAATTTTATTATGGCATTTTAATATGTAAAAAGTCAAAGGTCAACATTATAACTACACATCAGTCTCGACGAAAACTGAACGATATATTTATATATCATCGTTAGGTTTTAACTGCTTCTAAATAATAATCTGCATTTTATGTACACTTAGTTAAAGAAAAAGGGACGTCCTAGGCGAAAATTTATCGACCAAATTGGCGATTTATTGAAAACGGGCCAAATTAGGAGTACCCTTAACCGACGAGCATGTATGCATAGGTGTAGAACATGTGAAGGAGGGGAGAGAGGTGTGTCAGGATCGTGCCAAATGGAAGTCTGTAGTCTCTGCCTACCCCTCTGGGTGACAGGCGTGAGTGTTTATGTATTATGTATGTTATGTAGTTAAAGAAATAAAATGTTTTGTATTTGTAATTGCTGTTTAAACACTATGTGATAGCCTTCGATTATAAGGATATTTTACATGCAATAATTTGCAAAAAAATCATCTTGTAGAAAATAACAAAATATTTAAAATTTTATACAATATACTACGAACTACGCTATTTTAAATAGTCCCAAAATAATTTATAAAGTAATAAATATTTGCACACTATTTGAAAATATTGTAGAACAATATTTTTAAAAGTACATAAGTAATCGCAAAAATTTTAAATTTTATAACAGGTAGTCGCTAACACTTTCGATATCGATAGTACACAAGACGACACAAGGAGGTGCGCGGGCGACGGAACGTATGAAGAGACTACTTGGGAGTAGCGCGTCGCCCGTTGCTATGGATTCCCGTCCCCGTACCTCACACCCCACCGTGCCGACACCTATTTTTCGGTTCTGCGCACTTCCATCACTCGTGGCGTTACCTGTACTAATATAACTGCAGTATGGCCCTAACACAGTAAAAAGTATTAGTTAAAGTTAACACGCACAGTTGCGGAGTACGGTGGCGGCTACGGGTGCGGCGGGCGTGGCCCGGGACGGGCCCGCTCCCCCCTCCAGCGCGGGGAAGTTCTTGTCGTTGCGGGTCAAACCTTCCGCACCTATAAAGACAACACACAGTTGGATAATCGATACACTTCTACACATAATCACATGGAAGTGTCTGTAATATTGATATAACTGACTTATTATGCTTAGAGGGTTGTTCGATTCTATTAAGACAGAAATATACCATGTGATCACGGTGTAAAAATATCTACTACCCATATCATCCCATAGGTGTTGTACAAGGAAAAAACAAATAAGAGGATGGGCACCAGCGTCTTCCTAATTTATCTATCCTGTCGCGCTACAGCCCTTTGTGGGCCCTGGCCTCCTCCACTTGTCGCGATCCTTCGACTCCCTGCGCCAGTTGGTGTATTTACCCATTCTTCTCAGATCCTCTTCCACATTTTCTACTCAACGTTTTTTTGGCCTGCCTTTTGGTCTCTTTTGCTGGGGAGTCCATCTGGTCATGATTTTCACGGCCCTTGAATCCGGCATTCGTTACAGGTGGCCCGCCCATCTCAGCCGCTGTGACTTACAGGACCTGACGATGGTCACACGACGTATAAGAGCATCAAGCTCGTGATTCATGCGCTGGCGATACGTGCCATCAGATTCTCGGACTGGTCCAAATATGTTTCTGAGCACTTTCCTTTCAAATACCGCCAGTCTCGCTTCGTCCCTCTGTGTAAGTGTCCAGGTTTCGCATGCGTAAGTCACAACAGGTCTGATCGTCCGGTAGATGAGTCTTCGTAATAACAACTAAAAATAAAAAACTGCAGTTGTCAAGCGTGGCAACTGTGGCAAATATCCCGCGTAGATGCAATCTATGTGGGAGGCCTATGTTCAGCAGTGGAGTTTAATAAGCTGTAATGATAACAGTAAGACATAAATAACCATCCAGACAAAAAAAATTAAATATTTTTTAAAATTTTGCAAACATAATGTTGGAATAGACAGAGAGCAATACGGTACGGTACGGTATTTAGGCTAAATATATTTTACACGAAAAACTTCAAGATGTTTTTTGAAAAAAAAAACTAATAACATAAATGATCTTTGGTTATCTTAAATCTAAATAACGTGTCATTAATAAATTATATCCAGATGAAGCCAAGGCGGTTCGATAGTCTAGAATAAATTAATTAACTCTCTATAATTAAAAAGAAAAAAAAAAGTAAAAATTACACGAAGGAGCATGGGCTACTGCCGTTAAGCGAGGATTTGCTTAGACTATCACACTTGGCAGCCGCCTATACGATTTAAGAAACAAACGTCGCACCTTAGCGGCCGCTCCCAGTCGCTAACCAATAACTAATAGCGTAGTTACCATTTAGTTTAGGTAAGGCTCATTAGGCAAAAAAGGCTATGACTGTCTGTGTTTTTTTGTGTCAGACTGTGTATTCTTATTTGATGAAATTAGTTTCTTTAATCACCGGCTTTCTATGTACTTTATGAAATCAAAAATGAATAAAGAAGTTCATACAATGCCCAGTGATTGATTCTCAATCAAGGATAGATGTTGATATCTATGAGCTACAACATCCACTTACCATCAGATGGATCTGTGTTATTATTTAAGAAACACGTGTTGGAATTTTACATTCGCAGCAGTAGTCACCAACAGGTGAACTATAAATTCTTTTGTTACAACTCATAACTGTGTTTGTTACCTTTATAAGATCTAGTTGGTCCAAGCATAAGATTGGCAGGTGGTGGTGCGGTGGAGAGACGAGGAAATTGCTCGTCGCTGCGAGTGTCTATTCGGGGCGCAGGGGGCGGTGTGCTAACTGGAGGCGGCTCCGCCCTTTCCCTGTATTAACAAACAGAATTACAATTGTATTTAAGCTCAGTGGCACGCCCAACCGAGATTTTCGTAGCCACCCTAGCGACAAGTTCTTTTGAACAATCTTTTTTTAACTTGATAATATTATGTTTTAACTCTGCCTGCAACAGGAAGCACGGGCAACTAACTATGTCAATGCTTTTTGTTGCTGCCGGTCCCAAGCCCGGAAAAGAGGAGGGAACGGTTCCGCCGGAGAGAGTGGGTGTATCCGGTGGACTAACACACCCACCTGCGCTAGGACCTGCGCAGTTGAGCGCCGTATGCGGGGATGAAGGAGTCCTGGAGGGTTGAGCCGATCGTCACTGGGGTATATAGTGTCGAGAGGCAACACGCCCTCTTTGGTCCGGATTTCAAGCTAAACGGTGGCCTTATCTGCTAGCCACAGATAAGGAAATGGCCAAGCGTCCCGTCAGAGGGTCGCAGGCGAGGGATGTGGGGGCTGCCTAGTCTCCCTGAAAAGGGCTAGGTGGTGGTAAAGGCCATGCTGACGGGGCAAGTGAAAGTCAACTCGAGCAGTGGGGATGGGCCTTTTTCAGCCCTATCTGCCAGCTGGATCGAGCTCCCGATGTCGCGCTGTGAGCCAACTCTGCGTCCCTTTCCCCCGGTAATCCTAACGCCTGAAATTCTTTTAATAAAGTAGGGCGTTCCCAAAGGTGCGGGCTCAATGGAGGGTGGGAAGCCGAAGGAGGGGGGACGAAATTTTTACACATGTCAAAACTATGGACAACACAATGCCCATTAGTAGAGAAGGAGAAGTGTCAGAGGTGTTTACCTTAGACACTGATAAACCAGAAGGAACTGCCGTTGAACCGGCCGTTCCACTGACTGTACCACCCAGCGTAGGTGGCCCCACCAAGGGGGCAATTTCCGCGCTGGATGTCTCTAAATCCAGTTCCAAATCCAAGGAGCTGGACGAGAAAAATGAGCAAGGGGCCGCGAGTAGCAAAACTCCTGCGGAGCCCCAAAGGACCGAAGACCTTTTCTCCGCTGCCTGGCAAGTGGTGAGCCGTAAGGGGAAGCGCAAGGCACCCAAAATGGTGACTTGCCGACCCGACGCACCATCAGGTGGGTCTATCCCAGCAGGCAGTAGCGCAAAGGTCAAAAAGCAGAATAAGAAGCAGCGAGAAAAAGGCCGCAGAGAAAGAGCCGCGCTCGCTGCTTCCAAGAGCAAGACTCGGGGAGCTGGGCAAGCTACTGCTACTGCGGTGCTTGGGGCTGGAACCAGTAGTCGTGCTGAAACTGGGAAGGATGAAAATCCAGCCCAAGCAGTAGGCACGGCCGCCGGAACCAGCTCTAAGAAATCCGCCAGGAACCAGAGAGCAGCCAAGCGTCCTGGAAAGAAGGAAAGAGCAGCCAAAAGATTGCTGGAAGAGTCCACATCGCCGAGAGGAAAGCACAAAAAAGTGCGACTTGAACAGCAAACAAAGGCTGCAAGAACAAGCTACGCTTCTGCTGCTAAAGCAGATTTGGGTGTGGCCTTAACGTGTGCGCGTTCAGGTCACATAACAAAGGAGATAGCTGATGACATCCTCGTGGCCATACAGAGGAAGATGATCAGCGAGGCCTGGAGTAACCAGGACCCTGATGCGTCGGGCCCGGTTTTTAGAGGCAAACCCGTTTACACGGATGGTGTCCTAAAGCTGTGGTGCGATGATCAGAAGGCTCTGGACTGGTTGAAGGGGAATATTAATACCCTCGACCTCAAATCCAACACCTCGCTGACTATTAAGAAACAGAGAGATACCACAAAGAATCAAATGTGGTATCCTTATCCCTGATGCCCAAGGTGCCTGGAAGGACTCACGCGACATTGGTCGTGTGCTTGCGTACCAGAACCGCTGGGTAAATATCAAGGACTGGCTTCTACTCAAAGCGGACAAACAGACGGATGGGTGGTTCCTCGTTGTTTCGGTGCCGGAGAATCATATCCCGACCCTGATGAAAGCCGGGCGCCGTCTCGCGTGTGTATGTGGGGCGGTATACGTTAAATTCCGGTGGAGGAAAATTCGTTGATTCCCCACCTAGCAAAGAGGCAGAAAAGAACCCGGAAGTCATGGATACCGTGGCCATGGTTGCCGGAACATCGAAATCACTGGATGTCAAGTCCAGTGAAAAAACTGCATGCACAACCGAGCCGAAGCCCCCAGTGGAAACTGAGCTCAGCGGCAGCTCACTGAGCGACGAAGAGGACTGCGTATTGCCGTCCGATTCCGACTCGGTGGCTGACGATGAAACCCGAGATCTGCTGGCAGGCTTATTTTTAGGCGGGGACGGGGATGACGCGATCGATGATGGCGTGCCCTTCGTCCAAAACTAGCCTAGTGCAGGCCAACCTCCACCACAGTGAGACAGCGTCGGCTCAATTCAATCGGCCCTAATCCAAGAGCCATGGGTTGGGGCCGTTAAAATTAAAGGCCTAAACAACCTAAGAGGTAAGTTATTCTACAACTCTGAGCACGACAAGCCTAGAGCGTGTATCTATACTACTAAAGATATCTGTGCAAAACCACTAACAGATTTCTGTTCCACAGACATGTATGCCGTAGCATTACAAAACACACAGGAGGAAAAGTTAGTCGTGGCCTCGGTCTACATGCCTGAGAAAGACACCCCGCCCCCTCACGACCTCGTCAGGCTGGTGAATTTCTGTGAGAGGGCCGGACTAGAGGTTGTGATCGGGAAGGACTCCAACGCGCATCTTCCCCTTTGGGGAATGGAAAAACCTAATGAACGAGGTAATGTTTAAATTGAATATTTATTTAGCACTAACCTAACCATATTAAACACTGGTTCTGAACCAATCTTCATAAATAAACGCTGTCGCACAATAATCAACCTCACACTTGCAACCGAAGGAGCAGCTAAGCTAATAACGGGATGGCATGTGTCGAAAGAGGCCTCATGTACAGACCACAGATGGATCTGCTGCGTACTACAGGTCGATATCCCCGCCATACCACCATGGAGAAATCCCCGCAAGACGGATAAAACAAAATACCTCAATATGCTGACGTCTTCGCTCGCGGGTGTTGGGGGAACTAGTACCATAGCAGATCAATCGCTCCTAGAAGAACAGGTAGCAGCTGTCACTAAAGCCATGATCGATAGCTACCATGAATCATGTCCAGTAATCACTCCACCTAAACATGTTGAGCAAAAGCAACACTGGTGGGGCAAAGAACTTGACAGGAAACGTAAGAAAGTAAGAAAAGCCCTAAATAGGGCAATGAATACCTCAAAGGATGAAGACTGGCTTCTATATAAGAAAGCTAAGTCTGAATACAAAAAATGTATCAGGTATCGACGCTCAACAGGGTGGCGCAAATTCTGTGGTAGCATAGAAACCTGTGAACAAGCAAATCGGATAAGGAAAATCCTAGCTAAACAGAACACGTCGGGATCTATCTCTTTAAAGAAACCCGACGGAAGCTACTCAACATCGCCGGATGAAACCCAACGCATCCTAATTGATACTCACTTCCCAGGTTGCTGTGTAGTTGAAAGGGTGAACCGGCATGAAGATGCACTGACACCAACAAATGAAGACTGGGAATAGTTTCCAACCCTATAAGGCAGCAGGACCTGACGGCTTATTCCCGGCACTTCTTCAGTGGGGGGGGGGGGTAAAGTCCTAATAGTCAGACTTGTTGCCATAATGAGAGCATGTCTGGCTCTTAAATATGTTCCTAGGGGATGGAGGGAAGTGAAAGTCACGTTCATACCCAAACCAGGTAAGAACGACTATACAGACCCTAAATCCTATAGGCCTATTAGCCTCACATCCTTTCTCCTAAAGACGATGGAGAGAATGTGTGAACGGGAGTTGAGAGGGTCGGCGCTAATTAACTTACCGCTACACGAAAAACAACACGCCTATAGCTTAGGTAAATCAACAGAATCGGCACTTCACCAGATAATAACAAAGATTGAAGAGGCCATCCAAAACAAAGCAATATGTCTAGGCTCCTTCATAGACATAGAAGGTGCTTTTGACAGAACAAATTTCTCCAGCATAAAAGGTGCCCTAAGTAGACATAATGTTGAACCGGCGCTGATTGACTGGATAGTAAACATGCTCAGTACACGAACAATAAAGATTGCTGGTGAATCTCAGACAATTCAGATCATGAAAGGGTGCCCGCAGGGTGGGGTTCTTTCACCTCTCCTGTGGAATATGGTCATTAATGAGCTCATCAGCAAATTAAACGCTAATCATTTCTACACAGTCGGTTATGCAGATGATCTGACAATACTGGTCTCTGGTAAGACAGCAAGCATTTTGTGCGACCTGACCCAAGCGGTTCTCCGTATTGTGGAGGGGGGAATATGACCTAACCGTTAATCCAAATAAAACTGTTATAGTAATGTTCACACAAAAACGAATGCTGAATAACTATCATCTTACAAGTCTTTTCAGCACAAAACTCCAACTTTCTTCCGAGGTAAAATACCTAGGTCTTACCTTGGACAGTAAACTTAACTGGAACAAACACATAGAAAACAAAATCAGCAAAGCTAGTTTAACTTTCTGGCAGTGCAGAAACATGATTGGCAAACGATGGGGTTTAACGCCAAAAAATATACTGTGGCTGTACAAAACTGTAATTCGGCCCATGATCACATACGGCTCTCTGGTATGGTGGACCAAAACCAATGAAGCCAGCACTATACAAAAGCTACAGCGTTACCAGAGATTAGCTTGTATGGCTGCCACGGGCTGCATAAGGACAACACCAACAGCAGCTTTGGAGGCTATGCTGGAGCTAACACCGCTTCATCTACATATACAACAAGAAGCAACTTTAGCTGCCATTAGACTCAAGACCCTAAATCTTTTAAGTAAGAGTAGAGTCCCCCATACAGATATAATCGATAGAATTTACTCAAAAATTCCTATCTTACAAGCCAAGTATGATAGGATCCCAAAACAATTTGTATTTGATAAGAAGTACAGGATACAATTGAAGGAAACTGACCATCTGGAAGGATTGGGTCCAAGAGAGCTCAAAGTTTTCACGGATGGCTCTAAGACAAATGAAGGTGTGGGGTCTGGGGCTTTCTCTGAAGACCTTAATATCCACATATGCACACCGCTGGGTACCCACAACACAGTCTTCCAGGCTGAATGCATGGGTATCATCCAAGCGGCCATAGCAATAGATGCTAGGAAGGTGAAAGACTTCTCCACTCAGAATACTGACCGACAGTATGGCGGTACTACAAGCTCTGAGTTGCAATGTGACGAACTCGGGACTGATATATGAGTGCCATCAACGATTGAATGAGGTATGTAAGCACAACAATGTGACTCTGCAATGGATCAAGGGACACAGTGGATCTAGAGGCAACGATGCAGCAGATGAACTGGCCAGAAGGGGATCGGCCCTAGCAACTATAGGGCCGGAACCAATAATACCAATCCCCTTTGGCTACGTTCGTTCACTGGTACGTAGATACTTCAATAATTTACACGCTCAGCTTTGGAAAAATTTTGTAGACTGTAGACAAGCTAGGGAGGCCCTACCTGAAATAAACAGTCGTCTAACCAAGGTTCTAATGAGACTGAACAAGCCACAGATCAGGATAGTAACAAGTGCTATCACAGGACATGGCTCTTTTAACAAACATTTGTTCACCATAGGTGTTACTGACAGCCCCCTGTGCAGGGCATGCATGGGAGAGGAAGAAACGGCGGCTCACGTGTTGCTGACATGTCCAGAAGTCGCTTCATACAGGGCTAAACATCTCGGCACGCCGGGATCGCTCCCCGAAGTTGCTTGCAACATCAAGGGACTGCTGAGCTTCTTCGGGGAGATATCATGGCTCGAATAAGCATATTATTCCTGCCCACACGCAAAATACGCGCTTAGACGTGGAGTTGCGGAAAACAGCCCGTCGTAAACTAAACTAAACTATTATATATATATATATATATATATATATATATATATATATATATATATATATATATATATATATATATATATATATAATATGTATGTGAAATGTTATACATGGTAGAGCCATGCTGCAGTTATATTAGTAGTATAGTTGAACGAATGGGTTGGCTCGACCAGGGAATGACTCTTACAACAATGTCCCAGAAAATATACAAGGTCTCTCTATTACCAAGTTTAAATATTTAATTAAACAAAAACTGTATAAAAAAGGTTATTATGAAAAAATGAATAAATGAATACATGGATGATAATAACCCCTGAGATTGAGGTGGTCGCTTCTAAGCTGTTTCTAAAATAAATTTTGTAAATATTTTGTGACCCTTGACATTGTAAATTTTTTTTTAAAGTCCCGTTGGGTTTATTGCTGGTTCTTCCCAGAAAAGAGGTTTTTTCGAACCAGTGGTAATGTAAAATATTGATTTTCAATAAGTATTACTTGTAATCTTCTCGTAAATCTATATTGAATAAAAAATTATTCTATTCTATTCTCACGGAATACCACAGTAAAATCCTATACCTTTAAAGGAGCAATTCTTGTATATATATATATAATCGGAATCTCGAAAACGGCTCCAACGATTTTCATAAAATTTTGTGTGCAGGGAGTTTCGGGGGCAATAAATCGATCTAGCTAGGATTTATTTTTAGAAAATGTCTTTTTGTCCGTGTTTTTAGGCAATGAAAAACTGCTACAATATCGTTAGAATAAGAAGGTAAATTTTGACAGTTTATTAATGATTACAAATAGCTTAATTGGTATATTGGGCGGTCACAAAATCGTAACACCATGGTTCGAGCCCAGACCGACCGACCGACTTTTTTTAATTTTTTTTTCAAGTTCCTTTCTTTTTTGAGAAAATCTATCTTTTCGTGCCCTTTTTTAGTATTTTTAAAAACACGAAAATTTAAATAAAACAAATTGCACTCATGATTTTTTATTCAAATAACCAGTTCAGTTTTTTCTATTACGTCGCTACGATCAAAAAATATTATTCGTATTTCATCAGTATGTAATTTGTATCTAAATATAATTTCCAAAACACACGAATTAAAAAAAACCGATCGAAAAATACCGAGCAAAGCTCGGTCAACTGGGTACTAGTAGCTTAATGCTGCTGTGTTTCATATGGTGAATTTAGAGAACCGAAGACCCTTTTTACTGAAAACAAGGCATTCCATCTTAGTGCTCACGGGTGACAACACATCTACATTTTGATTAGGAATAGAGGATAGATGTAGATATCTATGGGCCACAGCAACCACAGGTTTTTTTAAGCTCTAATATCATTTCAACAAAATATATGCAGTTTATTTATTAAACAAGTGGTTGGTAAAGAAAAACATAGATAATAGACAGCTCGTAGTACAGTGGCTAAGCGTTTGGCTGAAGCGTTGCGGGGAAGTGGATTCTAATCCCATACAAAGAAGTGTTCCCTACAAATTATTTTACCGGATCAGTATGTTATTTCAACACGCCAGATCGACATCTACGTCAAGAACGACTAATAATGATATACTTCTTTATCGACAATTTTCTTTTGTTTGAAGTATTATTTAATTAAACTGCTTACCAAATAAAAATTCTTGTAAAACTAATATAGCGTCTCCAAATCTCCGTAAATATACGTACCTGGGTGCTCTTTGTACAACGGGATGTGGTGTGATGTTAAATTGCAATTCTAGTGTTCTTGCTTGTCGAGCCGCACCACGGGTCATCCCTTTACCATGCACCGTAGCCTTGTGTGCTAAGAAGATGGGACACACAAGCTATTTTAGTTAGCAACGGATATTTTCGATCACATATAACAACAAAATAGAATTAAACTTTACTTAATTAAAATTTTAATTTCTTTCGATATAAAACTGAAGTTGCAAAGGAATGCTTGCCCACTTGTTGGTAAATAATAAAAACAACTAACAAAGACTATAGATACATTATCCACCTTAGGTAAGAAGGTATTGATAGAATCAGGCGTTACTTTGCGGAAATCCATTATAATAAAAAATAAAAATATAAATTTCTTTGCAACTTTCCGCTAAACATATAAAATGATGTGTCTTACCTAGATTGAAGCGCACCTCCCGCCCTCCCTCAATTGCATACACTAACTCCTGTCTATATTACCTGAGGATGCCTCGTGTAGAGGCGAAACACGTGTCGTATTATCGTCGATGGTGTGTCTTGCCTGGAATAGTGGTGTTGAGAGTAGTGGTGCTTGGTCTAGTGGTGACGGAATTAGTGTATGCAATTGAGGTAGGGCGGGAGGTGCGCTTCAATCTAGGTAAGACACATCATTTTATATGTTTAGCGGAAAGTTGCAAAGAAATTTATATTTTTATTTTTTATTAAGAAGGTATTACCAAGCAAGAATTTGTATGCAGAAAAAAAAATTCTATTACCTATCTTTGTGCTAATTTTAATTGTTGAGAGTAGTAAAATAACAAATTACGATTTTGTGGACCATTACCATTTAATTCAAGTTGGAATAATGTCTCTATTACGCTAACTCTGTTATGATAACAGCAAACGAAAGTTTAAGAATTGTACTAGTATTTCCAATTAATAATAAGTAGTAATATTATTTTCCTTTTATAAAGAGATTATATTCAAGACAAGTATGTACCTCTGTTGAAATATAAAACAAAACATTTGTAATGATTTCTTAAATTTACGCGAACACTACACATTGAATAAAACCACTTACTAATACGGATTTTATCTTGTTTAATTTACTTATTTTTAATTTTTGACATTTCAGATACTTTACAGCACCCGTCATAGTTAGCCCAGCTACATTCAGTTTTCGAATATTAATTTTTGGTCCGATCTATGCAGAACTAGCTTACAGTATCTTAAAGGATCTCAAGCAGATAGCAGCACTCATCCATCTTCTCTATTGAAATTAGGATGTTTTTTTAATTTCAATAGCCTCGCGTATCATCCTTGGTAGGAATCGGTGTTCTTTTGCGAGGATTTGTGGTTTATCAAATCTAATGTAATGGTGGGGATGATCTTGAACATGTTCATTGAATAAAACCACTTACTAATACGGATTTTATCTCGTTTAATTTACTTATTTTTAATTTTTGACATTTCAGATACTTTACAGCACCCGTCATAGTTAGCCCAGCTACATTCAGTTTTCGAATATTAATTTTTGGTCCGATCTATGCAGAACTAGCTTACAGTATCTTAAAGGATCTCAAGCAGATAGCAGCACTCATCCATCTTCTCTATTGAAATTAGGATGTTTTTTTAATTTCAATAGCCTCGCGTATCATCCTTGGTAGGAATTGATGTTCTTTTGCGAGGATTTGTGGTTTATCAAATCTAATGTAATGGTGGGGATGATCTTGAACATGTTCATTGAATAAAACCACTTACTAATACGGATTTTATCTCGTTTAATTTACTTATTTTTAATTTCTGACATTTCAGATACTTTACAGCACCCGTCATAGTTAGCCCAGCTACATTCAGTTTTCGAATATTAATTTTTGGTCCGATCTATGCAGAACTAGCTTACAGTATCTTAAAGTCTTGCAGTGGTATGCTTGAGTTTGGATTTAATTTTGTTAATTATAGGATCTCAAGCAGAAAGCAGCACTCATCCATCTCTATTGAAATTAGGATGTTTTTTAATTTCTATAGCCTCGCGTATCATCCCTGGTAGGAATCGGTGTTCTTTTGCGAGGATTTGTGGTTTATCAAATCTAATGTAATGGTGGGGATGATCTTGAACATGTTCGCAGACTGCAGACTTTCCAGAGCGTTGGTGCTTCACATCAGCTATATGTTCTTTCACAAGGGTTTTTATAGATCTCTTTGTTTGTCCTATGTAAGAAACACCACTTTTACAATCTAGCTTGTACACTTCAGCACCTTGTAGAGGTATATTACACTTGATGGTTGATAAAAATTGACTAATCTTCTTCATAATATAAGTGGTTTTATTCAATAAACATTTGTATCTGAACAAATTCTAAAAAATTCATATTATATTTTTAAAAACAATATTAATGAACATAATTCACAAAATATGCTTACCTTTGAGATCAATTTCACTTCTAAATACAGCAGTCAAATGTTGTTCAGCGCATTCCCCTTCTTCACATAGATAGTGATCAGTACGAAAATGGTGTGCAAGAGCAGAATGCGACGCGTAATATAAGTTCCTTCCATCCGCATCACATAGATGACAGTAGAGATGCTCCTTACGTAGATGCCGATAAAGCTCGTCAGCATCCATAAATCTCTCCTCGCAGAATTCACAGAGAGGGTGACCCCTATGCATGATAACTATCAGAAATTAACCAAAAGATAACACAAAGAAGCTTAACGTTTTTATTTCAAGCATGCGTAGCCACCACGCAAAATCTGGATTCGAATCGTTAGTTAAGCCAATATTTGTGCATAAATACAAATTTTTGTTTTTGACTATTGTATTGCAGTGAGTGAATGTATTGCATACACATTCACTCAATGCAATACTAATTGTGGCACAACAGTATTCATAAGTTTAGTCCAAAGAGTAAAGGGTCTTTATAGATTCCTGATAATGCAGTATAATATATAATACTCTAATTACTTTATTTCATATGATCGTTTATTTTATGTGTCACACATAAATCATACAGCCATACTCTAGTGGTGGAATATGTTTGAAAACAACAATCTTTCCAAATGCACTTCTATACCTGTATAAAAACATGTAAAAAAACTTTGGTGCGTAATAGTACACGCACCAGTTAATGTGTCTAACGAAAAATGCATCGTAACGCATGCCGAGCGCGGCTAGTAAATTCTCAAGGATGCATATAGTTACCAGATGCTTCAGGTCAGTCTGAAGAAAAATTCAATTTGTTATATTTAATTTTTATATAATTTTAACACATAGTAGAGCCACGCTGCAGCTACATTACGGTTGTAGCACGAATGGGTCACCTCGACCGGGGAAGGACCTTGCTCTCACAGAATACCACCGTAAAATAGCAACTTAATACTGCTGTGTTTCGTTTGGTGAGTGTAGAGATCCAGAGACCCTTTTTTACTGAAAACAAGGCTTTCCACTTTAGTCCTCAAGAGAGACTACGCATCTGCATTTTGATTCTTAATCGAGGATAAATGTAGATATCTATGGGCCACAGCATCCACTTACCATCAGGTGGACTGTGTGCTCGTTTGTCACCCTTATTCTATAAAAAAAAACTTGTATCATAGTAACGGTGTAAGAGAAATCCACTACCCTATTTCATCCCATGAGAATCATAAGAGGCGACAAAGGGAATTAAAACGGGTGATGTGCAACAACATCTTCCTGATAACAACTCAAAATAGATCACCTGCAAAATGTTGCCACTATGGCAAATACCCTTGAGGCATTTTATAGGGGAGGCCTATGTTTAGCTATTGATTTTTTTTATACTTCTAGGTTTTAATGAACGATGGATGAAAAACTTATTTGTTAACTTAAAAAAAGTTTAATGTGGATAAAAGAAATAACTTTGTAAATATTTAACTATGTTTGAATTATACCAATTTGTTAATGTTTGTTTAATTACAAAACCTAGTTAATGTATTTGTTTTTAAACTTGTCTAAAGTGTAATTAGTTAATGTATTTGTTTTTAAGCTTGTTTAATTGTAATAAATCCTAATTGTTATTGTAATAATATCATTTGTCTTTCAATAAAAATTATCTCATGACTTAAAAAACATACATTATGTACATGCACAGTCTGTTCAAAAAGTATCGCGAATTTTGTATTTTTTCAAAAAGTATTTATTTATTCATGAATATCTATTTTGTCTCCTTCAAAGTAATCCCCTTCGGATATAATGCACTTGTGCCAAAGTTTTTTCTAATCCTCGAAGCACTTAAAAAAATAATTTTTCGTGATCTTCTTCAGCTCCTCTTTCGATGCCGTCTTTATCTCCTCAATCGTGGCGTAGCGTCGTCCTTTCATAGGCCTCTTCAGTTTTGGGAACAGGAAAGTCACAGGGGCCAGGTCTGGGGAATACGGTGGCTGTTGGACCATTACTGTGTTGTTTTTGGATAAATATTCGCGCACAAGCAACGATGTGTGAGCAGGGTTGTTATCATGGTGCAAAAGTCAGTTTGTGTTCTTCCACAAATCCGGGCGTTTCTGGCAGATTGCTTCGTGCAAATTGCGCATAACTTGCGAGTATCATCCTTACTGTCCGTACTACCCTGTGGCAAGAACTCGTGATGCACCACGTCCCTGCAATAGACGAAAACTGTGCGCAAAACCTTCACGTTCGACCGAAGTTGGCGCGCTTTATTCGGTCCTGGCTCATGCGGCAGCTTCCATTGGGATGATTGAGCTTTAGTTTTCACGTCATAACCATAAACCCATGATTCGTCACCAATTACGACCCTCTGGAGCACATTTGGGTCGCCACAGACCGAGTCCAACATCTCCTGAGCAATGTTAACGAGATGCTGTTTTTGGTCAAAATTGAGCAATTTTGGCACGAATTTCGCGGCAACCCGACTCATGCCCAAATCATTACTAACAATCGAATGGCACAAGCCAATCGATATGTTTAGGTCTTCAACAACTTTTCTAACGGTGATTCGACGGTTGACCAATAATATTTTCTTCACTTTATCAATGTTATTGTCTGTTGTTGGCATGCTCAGGCGTCCAGCACGCTGTTCGTCGTTCACATCTTCTCGGCCCTCTGAGAAGGTTTTGTACCACCAATAAACGTTGCTTTGGTCCAAGATAGCTTCACCATATGCCACAGTCAACATTCGGAATGTTTACACTTTATTTTGTTTTTCACACAAAATTTAATAGATTCTTTGATCTATTTTTTCGAGTAGGCAAAAATCGAAGACGAGCCAAAACACATCCAAGCAAAACAGCTGGCAAAAATTAACTAAACATTCAAAATGGCCGACCTTGTCAGCATAAGTAAGGGACATAAGTACCAACATAAGGCTACAAAAAATCAAAAATCAAATATACGTAGCCCGCGGAAATTCAAAATTCGCGATACTTTTTGAACAGACCTTGTACATATAACTTTCTTACACTAACACTCAGCCTATATAACAGCTAAAGTTAGGTCGACCAAAGCACATGTCCTCATTTCTTACTTTTCACTTCTCAGTCAAATTATACTAAGCTGATTATATGTTGCGGATAAGAATGACCATGTCACACCTATGCCTCAACCTAATGACAATGTTAGATTACAAAAAATCTACCTCACATTTACCTCAAAAATTTTCTATCAATTTCATTATTCTAATAATAATGAAATAAAACACATCGGTGAATTTATTACATTTAAGCAGTAGTAACTGAAGGGGTTAAACTAACACCATAAATTTCACAGTGCATAAGCAACGCTGGTTAGATCAATCTCATTTGTTCCGCTAGCACTAAGTGAAAAGTAATTGTTTAAAGTAGTTAAGTGTAATTTTAAGTGCTGATTAACAATGTGATCAGTGGTTAATGAAAAAATTGTAAAGATACTTGCATGTCTGAAGGATAAAATTTTTCAAAGGTGTGTGGAGTCTACCACTAGAGCAGCGCAATAGACTAATTGCTCTATAATCGATGATGGACATCTGTGCCCAGCAGTAGGACATATATAGGCCTAAACTGTACTTAAACATTAAATACTCGAATAAAATATAATAACTAGAAATGGGCTGATTATGGATTTTACCATATATGAATATTCCGGCCGAAAGTTCAGAAGTTTTTAGGGTTGTTCAAAATAAAATTTATTATTTTGAAAGTTATTATATAATACTGTATCAATCAACAATCATTACCTGTGAGATGTGTCATCAAGGTCTCCTTTTCGTCGATGGTGTGCTAGTTCTTGGCGTGTGTAGCATCTTCTTTCACTGGTAAATATCTAAAAATCATCCATAATCATTAAGAATTAATACAAAAAATAACTACTTACAACATTACTTATTACATTATCATTATCATCGTTTTAGTCTATTAGTGTCACATTAGGGGACTGTATACAAATTATTTTTTTACACATCACAGCCCATCAACAGTTTACTGCTATAAATGGGCATCCCCCATAAATTGCATTAATATTATATTATCATAGTATCTGGCACTTTTTTTTATAATCTTTATTTTTTAAATTACATCTAAACATAAATAATTTAAAAAAGTGATCAAATGAATATACAACAATATTTCTCATTTTTAACATCCTGGGATAAAAAATGAGGAGACTGTCTAACCTTTTAATGTACATATTATAGATTTAATAAAAATATTTGGCTTCTAAATTATACTTAAAATATTGAGTAAATATTATTGATACATAGTGTAACTTGTGTATATATTAAATGAAGGTAAAAATAAACTAATTTGATTATATTAAATCATTCCTTACCTTCAAATGTTTAACACAAAGGTCACAGTAATATCGCTCATGCAACCTTCTCATGTGGTCACTCAACATAGTAAATGTACGGAAAGGCGGAATTTTTTCACAGATTTTGCAGCGATGTTCCAGTAATTTTTCATATGCATTTTTTATCTCCTCACTACAGAACCCAATCTTGAACTGCCTTTCAAACAATCTATCACTAAACACCCTGTTACGAAGCTCCTTATAAGGTTGGATGGATTCGGTAAACACAACCTATATAGTAAACAAAACTTAGTGTTGAGAACAGATTAAATATATATATTTTAATGTATATTGCTGCAATTTTTGTTTCATGAAACTAATTAGAGTTGAAGTCCATAAGTATTAAAAATGAAATACTACGAAGACAAATACATTTAGGTGCAAATTAGGAAACATATTCTTTTATTTGGCAGCTGTTGTTTGATGATCACTTACCCTTGAAAGGTCTTGACGGCAGATGGGACACTCATTCTGCAAGCAAAGCACTCGCATACGAGTCGAGCACTCGAAACAAACAGGGTGGTCGCATTCGCCAATTGAGAAATATAACACATTCTTGAAACAAACTACGCAAGTAGTAATATCGACATCGTTCGATTGAGACTCGGCCATGATTCTTACAAGGTTTCTGTAAAATATCTACATGTTATTAAGTTAAGTAAAATCTCACATAGAACGAGGATATGTACCTACCACAAGGAAAATAAACTCGTTATTAGAAACAGAACAGATGTTACAAACGGACAGCCCCAAACCCGCAAGAAAATTACATAGAGCTTTTGACAGATCACCCCATGAACCGTAGACCATACTCTGTGCCGTAGACTAGGTTTCTCTGTCTACGCCATGAACAGTATTGACAATAAGAATAATAGTGTTCTGTGGTAAGAATGACAGTCACTACCGTGCCGTGTGTACCGCCAACGCCATAAAGTTTTTTTATTTCATTTATTTAAGAAATTGCGATCTATTGTTATAGAGCCTAATACGACTTTAATAAAAAGACAACTGATCTCATACCGCCTACAAAGTGTTTATAATCTCGTCAGGGGCAAAAGCATAGAATATGAATACTATGTATGTATTATAGACTATAATAACTATACTATAATTTATATAGTATAATATAATTTATAGTATTCTATGGGCTATAAAGCGTGAAGGTTAGAGAACAGGAGAACGATCACCGTAGAAAATAGTGTTTAGAAATATCGTAGAGAGAGAAACATATAGACAAATTGACGCCTTCTTTCGCTTTCGCACACGAAAAAGATAGATTTATGCATACGTCTTGCATAGAAATGAGACAGAGCGGTGTGATTGTTTGTCCCTTTCTCCGTGCCGGTTTTTTTATTTAGCAAACTACACTTTGCTAAACAACTTTGACAGTTCGTAGTGATCTAAGGAGTTTACAAGTCGGTTTAAGTGAGAAAAAAGTGTTTTGTGAGCTTAATATTGGTGAATATTGTTCTGTTCAGTTTTTAGAACAATTAAAAGTTTTAACTAAATATGTTTAAAAGTCATAAAGATTATTGTATAACCTAAAACTACGTTATAGACCTTTCTCACTCGAGGCCACGCTAATCTATAGTCTATAGGTTTCCCTGTCTACGAGAAATATGGACACCATAAGTGAGGCGCTGCGATCGCTCGAGGTTCGGTCAATAAAAGTCATTTTGAGTCTATTTTGCCGATCAGTTGTAAACCACTTGCACATCCACGCACAATAAAATATTTCTCCATTTTTTAATGTTTCTTTTTGTCAAAAATTACAAAATTACGGAGCATGAAAATTTTCTCATTAAAAATGAAATGAAAATTTGTACATTATTCAACTAACTTCATCTACTTGTACCCATAAACAGCTAACTTCGCAGTTACTACTAACCGACGTCAGCGCCGCTATCCTATCTGTCAGGCAACTCTTTATTCTACAATGTATCATTAAAAGCACTCACTACACTATAATTTACAATTAATAAAAGATAAGCGCAGAAATGATCTAGTCTGTTACTACAACACGCATTGCACCAAATTTTATGGGTAATTTTCTATATAATAAAGTAAACGCTAGAATTGGTATATAACCTCTTAATAAACGCACTTGCAAATTAAAAGTAACTCAATGGTCGTTAAGTCTGGACTAAGAGACCACTGAAAACCTTCTTATTTCATATACGTAGGCGGTCCCATAATGAATTGGCCTAACTATGAACCAATGAAGGAAATGAAACGAAACCAATTTTATTTTTCAATATAATCACCATGAATACTAACACACTTCTGACATCTGTGAATCAACATCTCTAAACCTTTATAAAAATAATCACATTTTTTATCCTCAAAATGACTGAAGACGGCCGCCTGCAACTCTTCGTCGCTTGAAAATTTTCTTCCTCTTAAGCCCCGCTTTAAATTTGGATAGACATATTGAATTAACCATAAATAGACTTAGGAAACTTACATGGACATTTAAAACACTAAGATGAAAAATTTACTTTGCCAAATATATTATTTTGCTTTCTTTGATAGTTTTCTTAGTACATTGTATTCCTGTATAGGGTAGAGCTACACAAACCAAATTTCTAGAAGTTGAAAGGGCACAGAGAAATTTACTAAAAATTATGCATTTTAAACCGAATACATTCCATACAGAAGATATTTATGCCATAAGTAATGCACTTACTGTTAAGAAACCTTACATCTTATATTCAGTTCTGAGACTGCATAAAGGTATAAAGTTTAACCGTTATATTGTAGCCAAAAGCAGAAAAACCGTAGTGGTTGCAGCTGTCGCTGTTACACGTGTTTTAGTTAGGAGGCAATATGTAAAACAGTCAGCGACTCTATACAACGTCATTAATAAAAACATAAAATTTCACCACCTTAACAATCATAATTGCAAATATGTTCTCACCAAAGGAGTATTTCGTAAGAGCTATGATGATACTGAGGCTCTTTTAAGCAATATTATAATTTATTTATAAAACACACACACACACACACACACACACACACACACACACACACACACACACACACACACACACACACACACATACACACACACGGCGCGCGCAGTCATTCATTCATTCACACACCCATTTACTCTAACACCCGCGCGCTCGTCTATATGCCTTTGACATGAATATTATTAATTTTTTATTTTAATTTTTAATATTTAATTATTATGTAAAGGTCATGCAAATAGTAATGTAAGTTCTAACATAAGTTTTTATACTTAAAAGGAGACCTCATCCCCGGTAATTATTTATGTATGATATTTACCGAATAAAACTATTTTTAGTTATTATACTTATTATTAAACCAATAATACTACTTATTGTATTTATATTACTTTTTGTAATACTTTATTATAAAATCTAAACAAAAAATTAAAACCTGTTCGGCAGACAAACTCTAATGGGTTTAACTTATCAATAGCTAAAGTTGTGGCATACATCACTACATTGCAGTACTTTCGGTCGCAGTGATACCAGTTAATTTTACAAAAACTGCATACATTTGTTACGAAGTAGCAAGTTTCAATCCGACTTATTTGACTCTTATGTCGTATTATATTTTGAGAAAAACTAGTTATCGATTATATTAAATTATAAAATATTCAGAATCGTGTTGGGATTGAGTTGAATATTTAAATCATTTGAGAAAATCCACTACATATCTTAATGTAATGATTAATATTCATCACAAACTGATTTAGTTGATATGAAATAAATTTTCGTTAGAGTATTTATTTTGTGTAGAAAATATATTTTTTATTTTAAAATTGTTTACTTCATGAACTATGCTGGCATCACTTGATATATTACGGAAATATTCATAAAACACGAGTTTTAACGATAATATTATGTTAAAAGTATTCACAGAGGAAAAGTCACGTTGTCCTTTTGTAGATGTAGAGGTAGAGGTTTTGATTGTTTTTTGCATGCCAACTGCCAACACTTTTTTTATTTTTTGCATTTGATCAAGAATAATTTTTGAAAAAATTATTCTTGATCAAATGTTAAATTTTTTTAATGTAAATAATTTACTTCATAAAAATCAATTTGTTTTCACAAGGGGTCGCTCGACAACTGATGCTGGTGTTGAGCTGATTAAATATATATTTAATGCATGGGAGAATTCACAGGATGCTTTGGGTGTGTTTTGTGACCTATCCAAAGCCTTCGATTGTGTTCACTATGAAACATTAATCAGGAAACTTCAACACTACAGTGTAAGAAGCGATGCTCTTAAATTAATCATTTCATATTTATGTGACAGAACGCAAAAAGTTTTCATCAATAGTATGAGATCTTCCGGGTCGATTGTACAAATGGGCGTGCCTCAGGGCTCAATTTTCGGCCCCGTTCTGTCTCTTGTATATATTAATGACTTACCTTACATAGTAGGGGATAACCATGATATAGTATTATTTGCTGATGATACTTCATTAATATTCAAATTAAAACGACAGTTATTACAATACGACGAAGTAAATAATGCTATAGCTAATTTAGTCAATTGGTTTAATGTTCATAATTTGCATTTGAATGGAACTAAAACTAAATGTATGAAATTCGTCACTCCTAATGTTAAACATGTCAATACTAATGTAATTTTAAATGGGGAGGAACTGAGTCTTGGTGATACCACCATTTTTCTTGGAATTACACTGGACGCAAAGCTTCAATGGCTCCCCCCATATATCAAAACTAGCTAGCAGACTTAGTTCTGCAGCATATGCTGTAAAAAAGATTAGAATTCTTACCAGTGTTGAAACAGCTAGAATAGTTTACTTTAGTTATTTCCATAGCATTATGTCGTATGGTGTTTTGCTATGGGGCTATACACGCGACTGACACTGAAATTATATTTAATTTGCAGAAGAGGGCCATTAGAGCAATATATAATTTAAAACCAAAAAAGTCACTGAGACAAAAATTTAAGGAAATCAATATATTAACTCTGGCCTCTCAATACATTTATGAAAATGTAATGTACGTACACAAAAATAAAAGTAGTTTTGCGAAAATAAGTGATATTCATTCTGTAAATACTAGGAGCAGACACGAGCTAGTAGTACCAGTTACTCGACTCCACCGATGGCTAGATATAGTCTCCGTTGAGACTGGCCACCGTGACCAAACTTCATATTTTCAAAATTTGTTTAACAAAACTAGAAATTCTTCACTCATAATGTATTGAAAGAGTGGAGCGATGAACAATTCGGTTTAAAGAAATTTATTTCTCATAAGAACATACAATGGGTCGCTTAAAATGAGATACAAAGTAATTATATACTAAAGTAAAACTATCGCATTTACCTCTAGTGCTGGAGGTGTTATAGTTTTGAGCTTATTTAGTATGAGATATAAGATTAAGATTATTTATGTACTATGTCAGAAAAGATTACACTGTACGTACGTTTTTCCTAAGTTTACTTTTAAACAATTTTATGTTATTGCAATTTTTTATGTCATCTGGTAGTTTATTGAACAGCTGTGCTCCCTCAAACAACAAAGTTTTTTTTGCCATAATTAGTTCGTGTAGTTATTAATTGTAGTTTATTTTTACTTCTTAAGTTGTGTGTTGTTGTTTTTTTATGTAATTGTATGTTTGATTGAATAGAATTAGTGGTAATGTTTTTTATTAGAATGCAAGTGCAATAAATGTATAGTTGTGTAAGGTTTAGCAAGTTAGTTTTTTCGTATAGTACTTTTGTTGGCGTTAGATAATGATAGTGGAATAATGTTTTGATAATTTTATTTTGTGTCCTTTGAAGTGGATTTAGATTTGTTTTAGCAGCTGATCCCCATATCTCAATTAGATATTCGATATGTGATTTAACTAAAGAGTTATATATGATTGTACGAACCTTTTCCGGGATACAGTTTGCGACTTTACGTAGTGCACATAGTAATGACGTTAGTTTTGATTTGACGTGATCGATATGCATTCTCCAAGTGAGTTTATCATCTACCAATAGACCTAGATATTTTTCCTGAGTTGAACGTTTTATTATTTTATCTTCAATAGTAAGATGTGCAAACTCTGGTAAAGGTTTATTCTTTGTAGAAAAAATCATGAAAGATGTTTTTGACATATTAATTGTTAGCAAGTTATATTTTAACCATTCTCCGAGTAAGTCAAGATCTTTTTGAGCATGGGTTATTATGTTGTGAATAGATTTATCGAAATAGGAGAGACATGTGTCGTCGGCATATAATGTTAGGTGACCTGTTAGCCCTAATTTGTTTATATTATTTATATAGATTAAAAACAATAATGGACTTATAATTGAGCCTTGAGGACAGCCGTAGGATACGTTTTTAATCGAGCTGGTAAAATTATCCATTTAAACAACTTGTCGCCTATTATGTAAAAACGATGTAAACATTTCGAGGGCCTTGCCTGTAACGCCTATGTTGTTTAGTTTCTGCAACAATTTATGATGGCTTACTGTGTCAAATGCTTTTTTTATGTCAATAAAAATCCCTAAAGCGATATTCTTTTGATCGATTTGAGTTTTAATTTTTGTGATTAAGTCTACTGCAGCTGTCAGAGTGCTCGATTTGGAACGAAAGCCATATTGTTGGTCAATTAAAAACTTCTTTTTTTATTAGGTATTCATTTAGGCGGTTATAAAGTATTCGTTCAAATATCTTTGATATAACAGGCAAGACAGAGATTGGTCTGTAGGTTACTTGCGTCAGTCCTACTTCCGGATTTAAAAATAGGACTGACCTTAGCAATTTTAAGTGTGTAGGGAAAAACACCGCGTGTTAAACACATATTTATGCAGTTCGTTAGCCTCTCTACAATTATAATTTTCAGACATTTAATCGCTTTGGTGCTGATGCCATCTAGACCAGTACTAGTGTTGGTATCAAGATCGTCGATTATTTTTGACACTTCAGTAATATTACAGGGTGTAAGTTCACTAAGTGTTATTTCATGCGTGTAGTTAAGTTCGTACATAAGCGTGTTATCGCTGTTTATGTGATACTTATTGGGAATTTTGTTAGTCAAGTCCGAACCTATTGAGGAGAAAAATGAGTTAAATAAGTCACATATTGAATTACCTTCTGTTATTAGTTCAGTATTCGATATTAGTTTGGGAGGAGCACTGCTGTCTCTAATTTTGTTTAACGTGTAGCGGCGCTGTCGTCGCGCCACAAGCGAAATACACTGAAGCTTAAATCACACTATCAACATTCCGAATCATAAACGGCATATATAGAACTTCTCCGAATTATCACTCGGAGTGTTGGCCGCTCCCCGGGCAGAACACCTTGCCCGGCGGGAGATCTCCCCTTTTCCTACCACGGCCACAGTGGTGAGCCCGACGTGATATAAACACGCAACCAACAACCTTCGGAAACTTCAAGCTTCATCATCGTCATAGATTACCCCACCCATTCGCTCCCGAGCAGATATTGTCTGCAGTCTTCATATCCTGCAAGCCATCTAGCTTCACAAGGTTCATCGCAGCACTGGAATAATAATGCTTCCTGTTCCTTCAAGCTACTCTCTGCGCTATACAGTGTTCGGCACGGCTCTGAGCCTTACTGCTCGCCTCTGCTTCACGGCAATCTCGCAGATTACTTGCCTTCATCTCGACTCACCGCAGACTACAAGGCAATCTCCTGGCACTTGCACATTCGTCGGCAACAAGGCTGCACTAACGACCTCCGGTCTGAGTAGGGGGGTGATGTAGCGGCGCTGTCGTCGCGCCACAAGCGAAATACACTGAAGCTTAAATCACACTATCAACATTCCGAATCATAAACGGCATATATAGAACTTCTCCGAATTATCGCTCGGAGTGTTGGCCGCTCCCCGGACAGAACACCTTGTCCGGCGGGAGATCTCCCCCTTTTCCTACCACGGCCACAAACGCTAAGTTATTAATTATCTCCCACATTTTCTTAGGTTTATTGTAATTGTTATGAAATAACTTATGATAGTAGATTTTCTTGCGTGTCTTGATAAGGTTTTTCACTTTGTTCTGCTCTTTAATTAAGTTTTTTTGTAGATTACCGTCTTTTGGGTGAGATTTAGTCTGCTGCCATAAGTTGTTTCGTAAATTTATTGAGTTTATAATATCTCGGCTTATCCAGTCTTTTTGTGGAGGGTTAAGAATTTTTGTCTTGCTTACTTTATTTTTGTTTGTTTGTTCTAACATAAATCTCTCTAGGTAGTAATAGTTATTTTCTTCATTAGTGTATTTGGCTTTTAAAGTAGTGTTGTATAACTTTTCGTAATCAAGCGCCATATATTGAACTCTTTTATGTGTCTTTGTTGTTAAGTTGCTAATTTCAAGAAATATCTGCTTATGATCAGATAGGCACGATTCAATTATTGAGAAACTAAATGAGTGATTGTTTATATTTGTACATACATGGTCCAGTATAGTGCTTGTGGTGGTGGTTTCACGAGTACTGTACAGCCTATTAATTTTATTCAATATTTCATATCCAATTTCTTTTATTTCAGCTAGGTATTTTGTGACGTTACTATCTGTATTAAGTAGATCAATGTTAAAATCTCCAAACACAATCGCCGTTCTCCTCCGTTCCAACTGTGAGGAATATGTTTCTAAAAAGTTGTTTACATTAGAACTTCCAGGTTTGTATACTGAACCGATGTTTAAAGATAGTTTATCTATGTATATCCATAAGTAGTGGTTTCCATTTTCACACAATTCTTCCGTTATATCGTATTTTATGCTATTATGTACGTAAATTGAAACGCCACCACCTTTGTAATTTTGTCTATAATTGTAAATATGTTTATAGTTTGGTATCTGATATAATTTTGCGTCGGTTTCCGAAGTAATCCATGTCTCAGTAAAATTTAATAAATGTGTAGTCATCGGTATTGCTTTTAATATGCATTTTATTTCGTCGAGTTTCCCAGCTTTGCGAATACTACGTAAATTAGCATAAAAAAATCTTAAGGAGGACGGGTGCAATGGAATGTTTTCGTAATTGTTTACTAATTGATGGCTTAATCTATCCGTATTTTTTCCGGTTTGTGGTGAAGCCATTATTGGTTTTTTTGATGGGTTTTGTTTATAACAATTGAAGGTGTGCCTTTTATATATTTAATAATAAGGTCCTTTTCGCCTTTTTTCTGTTCGTTTCTTTAATTCTTCCTTCAATTGCCTTAAATACTGTTTTTGAACTGGCGTTTGATCTGAGTAAATACTAAGATTTTCGGCTAGGTACTTTTTATTCCGTAAGAGATATTTCGGAGTATCTATATTGTTAAAGAAAACTTTTATAGGCCGGCTTTTGTTTGAAACATATTTCCCTAGTCTTATACATTTAATTGGTTCTGGGCAGTTTTCATGTAATGATATCAACAACTTCATCACTTCTTCATTATCGTAATTTCGTCTCACTTTTGAATTTTTTTCATTTATTTCGGGTATACCCACAATAATGATGTTTTTCTCACGGTCGTATCGGTCTTTGAGTTCAAGGATGAGGTTTTCGTGGCACAAGACGGACGATTTATCCGTTGAACTTTCAATGTGTTGTTTATCTTTTATCAGGGTTATTTCACTTTCTTTGTTTTTTATTTGGTTTTGAGTAGCAGTATGATTGTATTTAATATTTTCTATTTCAGAGTTTATTTGTTCAAATCGTTGTGTAAAGTTTTTTGTTGTTGATTTTATTGTTTTTATTTCATTTTTAATCTCCGATATTTCTTCACGTATGTATTTCAGATTCTCATTTTGTGTTTTTCCGAATTCTTCTAAGAACCTCATCATGTCTGTACGAAAGCTTGCAAAATCTTTTTTTATAGTCTATTTCATCAATGCGTTCCTTTCTTTTTCTCAGGGTGTTTCTAGGGTAAATTAGGCACCGACCCGTTGGCGCTTCCGCTCCCGCTTATCAATATTCCACTAGGCGGTGTTCTCTGTAGATTCATTGCGTGATGCGTCGCGTCGTCGTATGCAAAGTCTTCGTACGAGTGCGAATGCAATGGAAAAGGCAGCTGTTTTCGTTACTCACGGTACCTACTGAACGGGGCTGCGTATGTGCCACTGTGTACTTTTGTTATTATGCACTTTTTTAAGTAATCAGACTTTAGAAATATGGGCGTAAGGGTCACTTTTAACTGTCAAACTAATGTTAAAATTTTAATATTTTATGCTATTTTACAAACACGTCTGCTTTCCGTAAGCACTAGAGGCCGATTCCGAATTGAATGAAGGTTTGTATTTTGAGGCGCTATAAGAGCAGCTTGTATTATTTATTAAGTCACAAATCGTTCGTAATATTATAACTAAACAGTAACATCTTCACTTATCAAGTAGTGGTAAGCTAAGAAAATGTGGATTGGTTAAACCCACAGACTAGTTAGGGAACCGGCTCATTGTGATCAGATTTTAATTGTTTATTACAAGTTTTAGTACATACCAAAATCAACAAAATTTTATAGAATAATTATAAACATTAATTAATGTAATAATAATTTGTTTGTTGAATATACATTTTTTGGTAAAGGGCACAAACTAATAAGAAGTGCTAGCGCAGTCAAAGTACAAAAAAAAAGGGAAACTCTATTGAGGTCTGGGGAACTGAAATCATTAAAGTGGAAACACTGGTTGACGGTTACTGCTTTTCTTCAGTTAAGATTTTAAAAATTTCGAACCGACAACAAAACCGACAATATATTTTTATTGTGAATGTGAATGAATAAATCGCATCTTAAATTAAGACATTTGGTTATTTTTAACTGTGTTCATTTCTTTATTAAATAAGAATGTGACGCATTTCATTCCATACTAAAATTTTTGTTGTGGTACGTAAGAAAATATTTAAAAAAAAATGTATTTTCAAGTAAGTATCATTTTACTTAATTTTCCTTTTAAATTTGCGTCCCTTTTTTTATAATTAATAATGAATTTTTTAAACTTTGTAGATAGAAAATACTCCGGAGAATATTAGGAGAGCAAGGAGAAAAGAAACTGTCCAAAAAGATTCACCTAAAGAAGCATGTCCTCGTCTCATTTTAGCCCCGTTTTCGAGGCCTCCGCAAGTTATTTTTGAGAATGTTGTTATAGGAACATCTTGTGAAAGAAATCTGGAGATATTTAATCCGTCCAATCATACACAACAGGTTTATTTTTAATTATTTCTCTTAAAAAAAACAGCTGTTTGCAAAAAAAAAAAACAGTCCTTGTATTGCACCTTATATGTTACTTTGCTGATTTCATTCGCATATTAGTAAACATTAGTGACTAGGCCTGCAATGATTGATAATTTCTATTATACTATTTGATTTGTACTAACCCAAATTGTTTGCAATCCACTGACAAGGGTCAAAACGATTCTACCGCAGATTGCAGTTCACAAATTGTACCTACATTAAATATTTATTTTTATGAAAAAATTTATGTTTTATTATAATTTTGACACACTTGTAAAATACTCCTAAAATTTATTAATTTCAGTCAGTAAATTATATTCATTGTATTATATTCAATATTTATTTAACGGTTAGGAGCTCCTGGCTTGGGTTAAATCTGAATATAATCATTTAAGTTTAAGATTTCATCAAATATCGTTTATTTTGCAATACTTTTGATTTCACAGTAAAATATCACCGAGATGTTTAGATTAAAATATAGCCTAGATCACTGCGAGTATCTCTCTATCTGTTCTTAAAGTTTCATCACTATTAGTTCCGCCATTCCAAAGTTTAGCCTAGACTAGATGAATAGATGGATATAAATTAATTGGCAGCCACGGATATTAAGCAAAAACTCCTTACATTGCCTTATGAGGGTCACAACTTGCAACAACATGCATACATTTTTCAATTCACAATCATGATTGACATAGGCCTAGTAGTGACTATTTTTTTAAAGTTATTGTTAATATTTTATACATAGTATTTAATGTCCACTCAATATATCGATCTGGACTGTATTATCCTGACAATATTAATGAAGTTGTTATTTATATAATCACCTGTTTCCCAGTTTTGTTTTTTTTAATATTCTTTATGGGCTTCATTATTACCATCATAATAGCATATCAAATTCCACTGTTGAATTGAACTTAAACAATAATAATTACTTATAAGTGCAGTTAGTGAAATATACTTCATATAAACAGATTTATTTTTCTGGACATTAAAATAAATTAATTATAAAAGCTCCTTATTCGCGCTTCCTTCATTTGCGATTTCGCTATTCACTGATTTCTTTATTCGAGGCTCTAATCAGTACATTGATACATACATATTAATAAATAAAAGATCCCAATAGGTATCCAACCCAATATCCTTTATAAATGCGTTGTCAAATGGACTAATCAAAAAGTAAAATATACATTATTACAACTAAGCCGAAAGTATGTTATTAAATGATATCGCCGCTGTATTGGTTCGACCTTTGATATAAGTAGCCTTTGTCACGGCCGGTGTTTTTGAGAAGGTAAAGAGAAAAAAAAGGTTCCATCCTTTGGTAAAAGCCACTGCATGTTTTTTTATCATTCCATTCATTATAAAAATTGTGATCAAGTAACATGTCTCTACTGCTGTTTTCCTAATTTATACCGTCAACTAAAAAAATAGGAAAAACAAGTTTCAAAAAGCACTGTGTGACTTTCAATTTGCAAACTTTTAGTGAAGGTTTAAGAATGGCAACTGAGCTTTGTGATTTCTCTCGGAAAATGGATCCGTCTATGGAACGAAATCTTATTTTTAAGAGGAAAATTGCTAATGTCACTCTTGAATATCAGTTTGAATTAAATGAGCTTTTAAAAACTGCCAAGCAAAAATATCACAAAATTCTTTAAGCCATTGCCTAAGCCTGACGATAATAATTAATCAATATGGTCAGAAACTTCAATTAAATTGATTTTTTTTTATATATTTGTTTTTAAAATTGTCACCTAAAAACTACCATTCCATATTCACGGTTTCTGTATTCGTAGCATGTTTACGGAACATATACCCTGCTAATAAAGAGCTTTTACTGTACACTAAATTACATTATACTTAACACACAATTTAACATGGCTATGATGAGCATAGTATGTGTATTTATTTAAACTGCTTACAAAATTCCTTACATATGAAATTGGCGATTTATAGGGAAAAAGCATAACTCACTTTAATTGATTATTAAAGTGTGTATTATCATTGTTATCTATTTATTTTCGCCATTTTAATAGGTGTTTCATTGTCTCCTTTGCTAAAAAAATTGTGGGAGTGAGAATCATAAAATCTTTGAAGTTGGTTTAGATATCTCATCGGAATTTTTTCCTTCTTCCAAAAAAGTGGTAATCTGTTGAAGAAAGATCTAAGGATTATGATGGGTGTCGGAGACATTCCAATCATATCTCCTCTAATTTTGTGACCGTCTGGTGTGTAGTGTGTGGTCTAGTGTTGCCCTGAAGCAGCAGTGGGTTAGAGCAATTGACCAGTCCCAATTGCTTAACTGTTAGCTTTTCAAGGTTAACAATTGTTAACAACATAGATCTGCCATACTCATCTAGCCAGATCTTAGGAGGTTGTAGTGGATGACACCAATACTGGTTCACCAGACACTTACCAGTGCCTATTTCTGAATCAACTTTCGCTTGGGGCAGGTTTTAGCCGGTTTTCCTGGGATAAATGATTGTGATGAATGTTTCATACTCCTGGCTTTGTTATGTAGGTTTAAAATTACCAGAATGACAACTGTCACCAAAACATACCATTTTTTGCATTTATAGCAGTTTCTCCATACACATCTTTAACCCTTAAAGCTTTTTCAGCACTGGTGTCACTGTAAAACTCATGTTCGTAAATATCGCGATATTTTAAGTTTTCCATATTGTAAACTGCACAATATCAAAGAAAAATCAAGTAGTGCAAAACAAGTAAATCACTAAATTCGAAATACAAATACACAAGATTAAATTTAAAATACTTAGGTCATAAGTTCTGATAAAACTTTTTATAAAATGTATGATACACTTTTTGATAATTATATAGAAATTATATATGAAATGAAAGGTAATTTAATTTAGAAAACAATTTTATTTACATTATTCAAAATGCCATCCCCTATTTTGAATAAATGTGCTTAATCGACGCGGCCAAACATTAATGGCAGCACGCACCACACTCTAACTAACTCAAAACCTGCGAGCGAAGATTTATTTTGGTACTTTATTTTGCCAGTCTTGCAGGGATTTCTGCATGGTGGTGTAGTGGTGATATTGACCTGTAGTGTAAAGCAGATCGATCTGTAGTCTGACCATGAGTCCGCTCTCGACACATGCCATCCCATGATTAGTTAAGCTACTCCTTCTGTTGCAAGTGTGAGGTCGATTATTGTACGACAATGTTTGTTTATGAAAGTTGGTTCAGAACCTGTGTTTAAAATGGTTATATTAATGCTCAAGAGATGAACTAACACTATGTTCGTTGGGTTTTTCAATACCCCAGAGGGAATGATGCGCATTGTAGTCCGTCCCGATCATCTCTAGTCCAAGTCTTTGGCAGAATTTCACCAGCCTGACGAGGTCACGAGGGGGGAGGTGTGTCTTCCACTGGCATGGAGACTGAGGAGGCGACTAATCTTCTCTCCTGTGTATTTTGTATTGCTATGGCAGACATATCTCTGGCACAGAAATCTGTTAATAGTTGTGCACAGATATTTTTAGTAGTATAAATATACGTTCTAGGCTTGTCGTGCTCAGTAGTTGCAGAACAACTTACCTTTTAGGTTGTTTAGGCCTTTGATTTTACCAGCCCTAACCCATGGCT